CTGCAGGAACGACGTCCAACCAAAATTCGGGCAAAAGACTGACATCATCTCACCGGCAAATGAAATTCGATCACTCTATGTTCGACTCGTTTACACCACTACAACCGAGGATTAATAATTTAGGTTGTGAGAACTAAAGTGATGCTAATCATAATCATAATTCATAATAATAAAAGGTAAAGGATATGGAAACAATGATCACATATTTTTCTCCCAAGTTCTTATTACCAAACCATTACACTGAAAAACAAGAACCAAATAATAAAATCAATTCCAAACAAAAAAAAAAAAATCAACTACAAGAGAGAATGATTAACACACTCTTCACATTTTTTACATGTTTTTCAGTCTTGTTAATACCTCTCTCCAACTCTATATATATGATTTTCGACAAGTAGTTTCACACGTGGTTCCGTTCCGCAAATAAACAGGAACTACTACATTTACAAGTTCACGGAGTTAACTCGGGCTTCGTTGAATTGCACGAATCCTTGTTCAGTACGATGGGCTTGCTGCTCGTGGAGTCGATAACCACAGGACAAGAAACCCTTCTCCGATGCTTTGTCCTAACCAATTTCCCCACAACATCTCCTTGCGAAATCAGCTCAAACTCCAATCTCAACGGTAACTTAAAAACAGCATTGTCCGTAATTACCAAGTTCGATCCTGCCCCATATAATGGAACCTTCGTTCCTTCTATGTGTACCAGCACGTTCTTGTGACTTTTCCTTTGCTGGTAATATTTCTTCAGCTGTACGCATAAAAAACGAGCAAATGGGTGTATATAAATATTTATTCAATTGCAGTTTCGTTCGTTCTAATTAGTGGTTTCTTGATAAGCAATGCATGCAGACGAAAGGATAAAAAAACATATATATACCTCTCCTGTTGCAACTATGACTTCTGAGTATACGAGGTTGACAGGTGTCGCGCTGACGTGGATCCCGTAAAATGTAGCGGGATTGTATACGTTGATTCTCAGTGATCCGTTCACATTGAGGGTTTTCATTGGAACTCCAGTGAAGTCTGTGCCGGAACTTATGTACACATTGTTGACCGTCAAGCTCTGCAGAGAAATAATTGGAGAATTGTGTAAAACTATATATTAGTCTAATGCTATTTGACCTTTTTCCGGGCTATAAAAGATAATCGACACGAATAATTAGATATTAATTGAAAGAGTCGTTAGAAACAAGGTCGATTAGCAGAGAGGGCCCTTTAAATGAATGTTTGTTTCATTGCAAATTAGGCGAATCGTCGTACACTTTGACGAGAATCATTATTATAAAAGCATTTGGATTTAAGAATGATTTATAACAAAACAAAAAAAAACACGATTTGCTACTACATAACTACATACGATTACCGACTCATAATCATTGGCTATCGCATAATTTTGCGATAAGTATTCGAATATACCGAGACTGTTGGTTTAACCGATAATTGAATGTATAACCAGTGTGAAACCACAAGAACTACACTTTTAGCAAAGAACACTAAATCACAACCAATTAATTAAACACCAATAGATAAAACATAATCAAAATTAAACAGAATCAAATGTCAGAGCATCAAGAAACAGAACAAGATCATAGGTAATAAAAGAAAAGGTTACCTTAACAGCAACATCCGGCTTGTACGGCCTGCCGGCACCCCAGATAATCAAACAAAACACCGTAAAAAGCACGATAAACCCGCAAAGCGCCATCAAAGCCTGGCACCGGCGCGTGAAAGTCTTCTCGTTTTCGAGTTCGTCGTAATTCCCTTCCTCCACAATCACATCACACTCGGGCCAGCCCTTGTCGTTTCTCTTCCGGCCACCGCCACCGCCTTTACGACCGGAGGAGGACCGGAATATACCGGAGAATCTGCTGGCGGAGGAGTTTCTGGAGTGGCGGCCGAAGGAAGGGTGGGAAGGGGACTCCATTGGGCTGTGGAAATTGGGGGTTGCATGCATGGATGAAGACTTGTCTCCATCGTGTGAATCTCTTGATGGGCTCTGCACATAGTAAACCGGGTGCCTTTTCGGAGATCTTGATGGTGATGAAGGGGCTAAACTTGTAATATCTGATTCTGATTTTGTGTGCTGCATTTTTGTTTTATTTTTTTTTTCACTTCAAGATTGAAGTTTTTTCCTTTTCAAGAATTTTTGGAAGCAGCAAGATTGAATTTTTTTTACTGATTACACTAATTTTGGCACATGGGTTTCTTCAAATCAAGACAAAGAATGTAGATGAATTAGAAAATCAAGAACCCTTTTTTTTTTTTATAACAGTAAAACCCTTGTAAAGAAGATAGAAATACTGAAAATGGAAGCAAAGAACAAAAATGCAAGAAACCCAAAAGGGGCAATTCTTTAAATTAAAGAACGTACAGAATCAAGAATCAAGTATCAAGAACTGGAAATGAACACTTGAAGAAAAAAGTTCAAAAAACAGAAGTTTTTAATCAACAGAAACACAAGCCCATGTGATGAAAAACAGAAGAATCAAAGCAAAAGGTAACCCTAATTAAAAAGCACACAGCTCAGCAAATTAAACGCAGTCAGTGTGTATACTGTGTGCAGAATTATGCATGAGACAGAAAAAAAAAAAAAAAAAAAAAAAAAAAAAAGAAAAAAAGGGGGTTTGTTCTGTGGTGGTGATGGCAACTAGCAAAGAAGAAGGTAAGAAGAGTTGGGAGCCACAGTTGACACCTGTTAATAACACTGGGCTGAAGGTGTGAAATGACTGAATTGCCCCTATGCATATGCATGGTTTCTTGGCTTGGTGTGTGAGTGAGTGTCGGCAGCCACTGGTCACTATCAGAAGTGGAGGAGTGGTGGGACCCACTTCTGGATTATTTAGTTTTAAGTGTTGATTAATTATTGGAATTTTGACAAGTGACCAAATTAATATTCTTCAGCACCAGTTGTTGGAAAGGATGTTTATTTCATTATGATTTTGAGTGGGAAATTAAATGGCACATTTTTTTGTTCTCGGTAGGAGTTTTTGACAAATAAGATGATGTGGACTTTTGAACTAAATCTTGTCGGTTAAATGATTAGTATATACTTTGAGAAATTGTAGTAGTTATTAATTTTTTTTATTATTATTAAATAGCTTAATATCAAGATTAATAATTGCGGAATAGGGTTATTTATAGTACCTCAACTAATTTATTTCTATTTTAAATTTATGGGTAGACAGCACCTAAACCCCTAGTTACAAACTTTTACAGGGTAACATCCATTAGTTTTTTTTTTTTTTTTTTTTTTTTTTTTAATCTCGCAATCAAATTTGAAAGGGGTCGTCTGCAATTTTTTAAAGATAAAATGTAAACAGAAAGGGGTCATCAGCAAAAAATTAGTATTTGACGTTTAATAATTGTAGTTAATTTCGATGGAAAAAACTAAGGGACGCTATCCATATCAACCACAAAAGCATTATATGTTGATATTACAAATACAAAAAGATCATCTGCAAAAGCTAGTAACTGCATGAAGTTAAAGCACTATTTACCCTAATTAAATTAAACTGGTCTTATATAAAATGAGTCCAAGTGATTTATGACCAATTTTGGAGTATATAGAAAATTTTGTAGCTGGATTTCAATAAGGCTGCGGCTATATGCAATACTAATTCCACTTGTGCAAGACCAAATTAAAGAAAGATTCCAAAAGATTTCATTTTATTAAGATGAAATGACAAATATACCCATAAATTAAATTGGCTTTTGTTTGCTCATGCAAGACCAAATAACAAATAATAAAAAAATATGAAACAACTAAATTTCGACATTAAGGTGTCGAATATATGTCCATAAATTCGACACCTTAATGTCGAAATTTAGTAAATTTTGGACTAATTTGCTAACAGTTAAATCTCGACACTAAGGTGTCAATTTTGTACTCCAAAATCGACATCTCAATGTCGATTTTTACCTATAAAATTCGACATGTACATGTCGAAATATGAAACAACTAAATTTCGACATTAAGGTGTCGAATATATGTCCATAAATTCGACACCTTAATGTCGAAATTTAGTATATTTGGACTAATTTACTAACAATTAAATTTCGACACTAAGGTGTCGATTTTGTACTAAAAAATCGACATTTCAATGTCGATTTTTGCCTATAAAATTCGACATGTACATGTCGACTGCGTCTACACGGATTTTTTTTTGAAAAACGATATTCTAGCTAAAAAAACACATAAATGCATAATTTCTTGGATTATTGCACCGTAGATTCTTCTATTTTGATGTCTTATGACTCCATACTTGCCATCTTTGTAAGATTTGTTGAGTTTTGATGATTTTGAATGTTTAGGTTTTGTGGGTTTATAGATGAGGAAGAAGAAAGGTTTTGATGGAGAAGATAAGAGTTGGTATTGTGATTTTGTGATAGGGTTTTTTTTTGTTTTTGAGTTTTTTGGTATTGCACATTTGGATTTTTTTATTTTTTTAACAAGTAAGGGTATTATAGTATTTATACATTGAAAATTTTAATTTGGTCTTGCACAAGTGGAATTAGTCTTGCATATAACCGCAGCCTTTCAATAATTGAATTTGGTTAGTGGTTATAAAATGCAATGCTATACCTAGGTTCTTTAGTATACTATTTTGTATTTCGTTTCTTTTTATTAGTTTTTTAAGAATTATGATTAGCCAGTCACATAAATAAAATAAATTAATTAATTTCTATATACAGTATCCCATCATAATTAATTCACTAATTTCTGTATATTCAATGGGCTACCCATAATAATTACTAACCAGACTCCTGGGGCTTTCTAAATATTGTATGAAGCCCAAAAAATGATTTCCTATCAGCCCAAAGGGCCCACATAGTCAAAACCAAAAAAAGAGGCCTTAGGTACTACTTACTATATAATATATTTAAAATATCTAGCTCCATTTTTTTTCTTATCCCAATGCAACTTAAAAACATTTAGGGTAACTTATGAAAAACCCCCTAAACTTTGCCTAAATTATGAAAAATACCCCCACCTATTTTATAATTATCAAAACCCCCTTATGTTTGCTTCCTTCTTATACCGACCCCCCCTTATGGTATGAATTCTCTCGAAATATTTTTTATTTCAGGGAATATTCCCGAAAAATGCCGGTTCTACCTCTAAGAACAATTTCTTAAATGTAGGTGGCATTAGTATACCTTCTGCAGCAATCTCATTTTCTGCTTTCTAGATTGATAGTATGAACCATCGTAGCATAATACATAGACATTTTTTAAACATATGTGCATGGCTACTTGCAATATGTTTCTAAGTTTGTAGCGGCAAAATTAGTATTTTTGTGGAGAATATCCTCTGAAATAAAATGATTCCATGAAAAGTCACGTCATAAGATAAAAACAACTATTTGGGGGTTTTGGTAATTACAGATAGATGGGGGTGTTTTTCGTAGTTCAGCCTAAGTTCAGGGATTTTTCGTCAAAATATTTGCTTTATTCAGTTGCTATTTCCCAAAATCTGGCAGTCAAATTAACAAATTTAAATAATTAATTAAATTAGGGGGAAAGGGATGAATAATTTGAGGCCTCACCAGGTTTTATCCTTAACATCGATATCCTCTCTTAGGATGACGTAAGAATGAGTGAGTGGACCCCACGTAACAACAATAATAATATAATAAAGTCAAAAGAGTCCTTAAAGTGGAAAGAAAAAGGACATAAACAAGAATTGGACTATGTGCCATCCCAATTATATAATCCCACACCTAATGAATCTCTCCTCTACACATGGAGCACACCCATACATATATACATACACCTATGCTTACAAACAATGCCTCCTGAGTGTAGATTATGACTTACTGACATCAATTTCAAATCTCTCCAGGCTCCTTTTTCTGCATTCTAGTTGTATTCTTCTATGAGAGAGAGAGAGAGAGAGAGAGAGAGAGAGAGAGAGAGAGAGAGAAGAGAGAGAGAGAGAGAGAGAGAGAGAGATGTTGGAGGGGAAAGCATTGATAGAGGATACAGATATGCCATTGAAGATGCAGATTCAAGCAATGGGATGTGCTTCTCAGGCACTTGATCTCTATGATGTTTTGGACTGCAAATCTATTGCTGCACACATCAAGAAGGTGAGAGAGAAAATGGTGTTAATCTTTCTTGGTTTTCTCTCTCTCTCTCTCTCTCAAGATTTTGTATATTTTGCAATTGCAATAATCTAATCCCTTTTTCCTGAGTAAGTTGATTTTTTTTTAATAGGAATTTGACAAAAAATATGGGAGTGGATGGCAGTGTGTGGTGGGATCAAACTTTGGGTGTTTCTTCACACACAGTAAGGGGAGCTTCATATATTTTACACTCGAGACTCTCAACTTTCTCATCTTCAAAGGCTCCTCTTCTTCTTCTTCTTGATGATGAGTAGCAGTGGATAATATATTAGGACAATGAAGATTAATTAGCTTTGTAATAGAGGGAACTCCTATGTTAAGTTTAGGTTGTACAAATATGATGTACTTGCTAAGCTCTGTTTTTATGGGTAAATCAATCTGCTAAACTCAGCTATTTATCCTCCACTATCAAGATTCAAGAATGAAGTTTCTAACTTAGTTTTTATTCGTTCTATAACAGTCTTATTCGTATCTATGAGTAGCAAAAAAGCTTCTAGAGACCAATCCTAATTCCGAAGCTAGTTTTCTGAAGCCTCTGAATTAATATACCAAAGAAAAATGCATATGCAGAATCTGTGAGGTCTCTCATATAAACTAATTTAACTGTAAATCGCAAACAGTCTTCGAAATGTTTTTATTTTTGTGAAGATGCATGCACATGGCACCACAACTAGTTGCATCGTCAGCAGAGGTCTAAATTATTACTATGTATCCTCCAACGGCTTCTAAATTATGTACTAATTATTCATTAATCAAGCAATAATACTATGACGTCGAATTTGTGCAAATAGTACTCATCAATCAAGCTTTTTGTTCTTACACTTTTTCAATTTCTTGAACGCGAAAATTATCAATCACAATTTCTCCGATACATTTTTCTGTCTTTCTTAGATCTAACATTTTTCATCGACGAACATATTTTCAAGAAGATAATCTCGAGCTGCCCTTTGCTTACATCTATGCGGTTCGAAGAGTGTTAAGGGTTGAGATAAGAAGATTCACAAATATCTAAAGCACTTCGCCTATATTAATGATTATATTCACAGGAAAGACAAATGCAGCATTGAAATCAACATCCCGACTCTTGAAACAATCTACATTAATGGCAATAAGATTCGATTTCACGGCCATAAGTTCAGAAATCTAGAGACTCTGTCTCTTAAGGCGGATTAAATTTTCTAGCAATTCGTTCAACTTCATGATAATTTAGAAGATGCTCCATCATGACTGCTCCACGCATTAAGTCAATCTAAAAAAATTCCTGAGTGTTGTTCAAAATCCTATGAACATTCTGATCATTCAACAAGACAACATTAATATTGGTGGTAATAATTAACCAGCTGTTGTGGTGGTAATAATATCGGATTTTTTTGTAACCAAGTAGCACATAGCACAACTAATTGCAGACAGTAGAGGTCTAAAAACTACCAACGGCTTCTAAATTACGTATAAATTACTTGCATCATGGATTAATTAATCAGAACAATAATGAAAACAGTTTCCAAGGTATAAGTTCTATTACATAAAAGAAATGCAGCTGAGAAATAGTACCTGAGCAACCCCCAGCACGATCAAATAACCGGAGTTAGCAGCGGTTTGTCTGAAAAATGCGCTTCAAGGTTTTGGACAACGAGATCTGCCATTGCCTTTCGAGTTTCAACTGTGCTAGCTCCCACATGAGGAGATAGAACTATATTATCAAGCCCAATGAGTGCATTAGGTACTTGAGGCTCGTTTTCAAGAACATCTAGCCCAGCTCCTGCCAAACGGCCCTCGACGAGAGCAGAGATCAACTCTGCTTCATCGATGTGGGACCCTCTCGCAATGTTGACTATGATTCCGTTTCTGCCCAGTGCGTCGATGACATGGCGGTCGATGATGTGGCGAGTTTCTTGGGTTAATGCACAAGCTACGATGAGGATTTGTGAGTCCGAGGCTAGGTTAAGAACAGAGGGATAAAATTTGTATCTCGAATTCGGTTTCTGCGAACGAGAGTGGTAGCCGATTGAACAGCCGAAAGCTTCGGCTCTCCTAGCAATGGCAGATCCAATTCTCCCCAATCCAATGATGCCCACTGATTTCCCACTGAACTGGAGAAAGATGTACGAAATATGAGAGACGGTTAAATTAAAAAAAAAAAAAAAAAAATCAGATCAGTGCTTAATTAGGGTTTCACCTTTGTGGTCAAATTGAAGTCGGATTTCTTCCATTCGCCGCGTCTGACAAACCGATCGGCCGCACAGATCCGCCGCAGCGTCGCCAAGGTCAGCAGAACCGCCATATCCGCCACCTCATCAGTCAAAGCGTCGGGAGTGTAAGTTACTCTTATGCCCCTCTCTCTACACAGTTCCAAATCGATTTTATCGAGCCCGGAGCTGTGGCTCGCGACAATCTCCAGGAAGGGCAGCGCGTCGATGAGCTCAGTATCGGCGCCTTGCACGCCGTTGCCCACCACCGCCTTGATGGAATTGGAGTGTTTTCCGAGGAACTCGCGGCGGAGATCCGGCGGCACTTGCCAGTATTTGAAGAGAGTGTATCGTTTGGAGAGCTCCTGCTGGAGGTAGGCCGACAGCGGCCGGATTAAGAGAACGCCGATCGGAGTTTCCATTAATGGATTTCGCGGTCTTTTTTTATGCAAAAACTAGGAGTAATTAATTCTTCGAATTTTTTGTTTTTAAAACATTAAAGCATCTTAAAATTATTATTCCAAAATAATATATATATTTCACATTTAATACCCCAAAATAATTTCATTTTTAATCGTATATCCTCACCTGGAGCAAATATATAATCAACTTGTTAATAAAACACCTTCACATTTACGATCTAATTGATCATAATTGTAAAAATTGAGGCAATTGGACAGTGTAATCCAAATCCAAATACATTGCAATCATTATTATAAATAGGATAAATTACAACCACCTCCCTGAGGTAAATTGTAATTACAAAAAAAAAAAATCCCTTCTTTTTTAGAAATTACATCCAGATTCCAGCCCCTGTAGTTTGTAAACAGGGTGTTAAGGTAAGAAATCTACAAATTGCAGGGGTGGATGTAATTATAGAAAAAGGAGGGATTTATTTTCGTAAATAGACCATACCTCAAGGGGTGGTTTAATTTACCCTAATGACAACAGGTCTAAATTCAGTGGCAGAAACGCCACTGTATAACTAATCAATTTTCATGCAGCAAACGGAAGTATGAAACTATCAAACCACCGGAGTTAACAGGGGCTTGTTTGCAAAGTAAGCTTCCAAATTCCCAAGAACAAGGTCAGCCATGGCTATACGTGTCTCTACAGTGCCGCTCCCTACGTGAGGCAAAAGGACAACATTGTCAAGCCCAAACAGTTGCTCAGGCACTTCGGGCTCCTTTTCGAACACATCAAGGCCCGCACCTCCCAAACGGCCCTCCACAAGTGCCGACACCAATTCGGGCTCGTCCACGTGGGGCCCTCTTCCTATGTTGATGAGAACTCCACTCGGACCTAATGCATCGATTACTTCACGGTTCACGATGTGTGTTGTTTCTGGAGTTAGTGCACATGCTACGACTAGGATGTCACAGTTTGAAGCTAACTCAACGACACTTTTATGGTACTTGTAGTTTTCTGCGTTTGGTTTCTCGGATCTTGAGTAATAACTGATGGGGCAGTCGAATCCCTCTGCTCGTTTTGCAATTGCTAATCCGATTCTGCCCAGTCCTATGATGCCCACTCTTTTGCCACTGAACTGCAAAGACAATATATAGATGGGGTTTGAGAAACTACTCCCCTTCAAGAATTTTACAAAAACGAAAAAATATCCAAACAACCCTTAAATGTAAAATTCGGAATATTGGACAACTGCTACTATTAAGTGGACTGGATTTAAGTTCAATGGTATGTTTATTACTTCACTAATACCAAAGGTTAAGTTGTGACTACTTCGATCTAGTGCATTACGATGGTGATAAGGATTTAGTAAGCAATTAATCCTCAAAATTGAGTAATTCCCAAGAGTGAAATTAACCGGGTTAACTATTAGAAGCTACTGTACCTACTCGAGAAGAAATAACAACGAGCAAAAAGATAAACAAACTTAATGTCATGTTATAACTTATAACCTAATCAAGAACCAAAACAAATGGCCTGACACCCTTAATCATATGCAGCATTAATAATTAAAATTTTAAAACCCTTTCCATTCTCTTAGTACCAAAGAGGCTCAAATAATCTCCTTGCGTTAGGCAGAAAATCTAACCAAACTACTCAATTCCGATTCGAGATCGCTCGTTAGTAACTTGTTTGAGCTCAATAAGCTATGAAGCTCACCTCGAACACGAACTCGATTCGATTAGGAAATAAAAAAAAAGACAAAATAAAACTATTTCAGCTCCATTCATGTTCGGCTCGATTAAAGCTAGACATGATTTCTTATCAAACCAAGCTCAAACATAAAGCTCCATAAAATTTCAAACAAGCTTGAACAACCATGTGTTCAACTCGACTCGATTCATGTACATCCGTATCTCCACATCCTAACAAAACCGCAAGTATCATAAGCTACCTCTCCGAAATAACAATTCATTACGCAAAGCTAAATTAATCTCAAACCAAACATTAAGACATTACCACCAAATCATTAGAATATTATTAACAAAATTAAACTGTCTAATACAGATGCAAAAGCAATATGATAAAAGCAGACTGTAAAATGGAAACAAAAATTGAAATGAAATAATATACCTTACTAGTCAACTTGAAGTCACCAAACTTCCACGCTCCTTTCCGCACGTACTTATCACACTCGCAAATCCTCCTCAAAACCGCCAGCATCAACCCAATCGCCAAATCCGCCACGTCATCGGTCAGCACATCGGGGGTGTTTGTAACCCTAATTCCCTTTTCCTTGCACTTGATGAGGTCAATTTTATCCAATCCGACGCTAAAACTGGAGACGATTTCCAATTTCGGCAGCGCGTCAATCAGCCCGGCGTCGGCGCCGGCGGTGGCGTTCCCGACGACGGCGCGGATCGAATCGGCCTGCTGAGTCAGGAACTCGCGCTGCTGCGGCTGATTCCAGTACCGGAAGAGTTTGAATCGCTTGTCGAGCTCTTGCTCCAAGTAGTTGTTCATCGGGCACATCATCAGAACCCCAACGGCGTCCATCTTCGCGGCGGCGGAGGAATGTGGTGATGGTGTTGTGGTAGTGGTTGAGAAACTGAGGTGGAGTGGAAGAGCGGAAATCGATTGGTTGATATGGAGAAGGTTGCACGTGAGAGAGATGGATGGCTGACAAGCGGCTCGCCGCACGAGTGTGGCTAACATTTTACAGACCTGGCTCAATGACAACGACCCTATTTTGCATCGTATTAAAAAAAACAATTATAAAAAAAAATGATGTAATATACCCAATTTGCCCTGGGTTAATCCAACTTTTGGTTTTTTTAATCGATATTTAAGGTAAATTACGACCACCCACCCTGATGTAAGGTCAAATTACGAAAAAAAGTCATCTTGTTTCTGTAATTATAACCATCTCTCGAATGTGAATCTTCTTACACGTCCGCCGGTATGGTGTTAAATTCAGTGGAATCTTCAAGATTACGTGGAATATTCTCCAGTTTGTACCCGTTTTACTTCATTCGAACTCTAAATTTTGAAATAAGATGATCACAAGACGTGTCTCTTACTTGTAAATCAGATTGTGGTGCATCAAAAACTGTATTTTTGCACAAAAGAAGTACAAACTAGAGAATATTCCACGAAATCTAGAAGACTACGTTGAATTTGACACCATAATAGGCCACACATGTAAGAAGATTCACAGTTGAAGGATAGTTGTAATTACCCAAATATAATGGAGTTTTTCGTAATTTAACTTTACCGCAAGTCAGTGTTTAAAACGGTGAATTTTGATGGTTCAATGTTGTTTAGACCTTCAAAAGTTCACTATTTTGGCCTTCTATAATAATTAGAGTCTTAATAGTTTTCATAGTTAATAATTTAATTTCATAAATTATATATTAGATCTCTTTAGACTCGATACCTATTAGAATCAAACACTAAGGAAGAGTTTTCTCTACGCGGGGGTTTTGTTTTCTTCTTCATATAAAAATAGTTGATAATTTCCTTAGGGTTTCAGATGTTCTTCCTTAGGGTTTTGTTTTCTTCTTCATAGTATAACCATATATTATTAGGGTTGGCAGAGCTGAGAATCTTCATCATGGAAAACGCAGCAGCTCAAAAAGTTGAAGATGGCGGCCGTACGGACAGGATATCGAAGCTGCCAAAAGATATACTGTACCACATACTTTATTTCATGTCGAAAAACGAGGCAGCTCGAACCTGCGTTTTGTCGAAATCATGGCGGCGTGTTTGGATCAACCGGCTGAAACTTACGTTTGACGAGCGATCGTCCTCGTTCGACGGACCTCACCGCACCAGATTATTCGTCTCCAGCGTGAACGAAGCTCTACAGTCGTACCTCGACAACCACAACATTCATCGTATAGAGGAGTTTCACCTCATCCTAATGAACAACTCCGAATCGATCCTCCTTCTCGAGAAGTGGATTCCGATGCTCGACGCGACTCCCATCAGGGAGTTGTGCCTTTGGATCCTCCCAAAATTAGGACGAAAATTCCCCTACGTCGACGATCTGCCCTCTGCGGTCTTCAAATCGGAACGCCTCGCGAGGTTATGTCTCTACAGGTGCAAACTGAGCCTCGAAAAGATACATTTCGCTCGACTGGATAGACTCCGTCTAAGCTACGTGAAATTCACCGAGCGCGTCTTCGAGAATATAGCGTCGAGCTGCCCTTTGATCACAACGATGTGGTTCAAAGAGTGCACGTGGTTCGAAGAGTGCGACGACGAAGAGGTGAAAACAATTACCTTGGAGAAGAAGCTTCACAAAAATCTCAAGCACTTCACTTTCATCAACGACCGGGCCCACCGGATGGACAAACGCAGAGTCGAAATCCACGTCACAACCCTCGAGACAATCCACGTTCACGGCTGTACGGTTCAAATCCACGGCAATAAGTTTCGCAATCTGAAGGAACTGTCTCTGGGGGTCGTGATACTATTGAGGGAGTCGTTCGACTTTTCGTCGCGCCACGAATTCCCTGTCCTCACAAGCTTGAGGCTTCACGGCACTCTTAGATGGGAGTATTTGAATTTACGCATGAACGCCCCGGAATTAACAAGTATCCGATACGCAGCGCAGATCGTCCCGGCCATCACTTTCACTAGCCCGATCTCGAGTCGTTGCACATCGGATATAGTCATCTTTCGGATGCAAACCGACCCCGTGTCGTGGCTCCTCGATCTGCACGCGTTCCTCCAAACGATTAGCCGATCTGAAATTCGTCTCTGCATGTGTAACGTTCTGGAATTTGTCGAACGAGTGTTTGTTGAGAATAAGCCGCCTGTTGTGGTGCAGGTATTGGGATTGAGCTTCATGAAAAATCGATCATATTATTTTCCGTCCTTTTTAAACGGTATGTTTAGCGTTTGTAGTCCGATGATAATAGTTCAGGAATCATTTATTGAAGGAGAGGCTAAGTCGGAAAGGGATCAGAAGGAACTCGTTAAGTTTTTGTGGGAGTTTCTAACGAAGAGAGACGGTACATTTAGACGGAAACAAGATTTGGAGGGGTTATGGATTGACAGGTTTGATACGAATGGACAACATTGGAAACGTGCACTATTGTCGGAATGCGTATTGCCGGAGAGTAAGAACCGTCTCCGCTTACGATTGAAATGGCGCGAGCGCAAAGCTAATTGTGACGATTCGACAAGTTAGAAATATTATTTTACGGTCCTTTTTTTTTGCCCTCGTTTTCTCTATCTATTTAATGGAAGCATTCTTCTTTTTTTTTTTTTTCTTTCATTTCAGTCTTTCTTTTTTATTAAATGGTATGTTTAGAATTTGTCATCCGAGTTTGTCGACCGAGGAATATAGCTCCGGACAGTCGGAGAAAGAACGAATAAACAATAATGTCATTGCATGAGAGTAAAAATTGTATCCACTTTCGATTGAAATGGAGAGAGTGACATTGTGAGTCGAGTTCTAAGCGTTAAAACTCGATACGGTTTTCAATTTCGATCGGCGCGCCGGAGATACTGACCACGGTCGCGGATCGCATGATGTAAATAGAAATTACGAACCAATGAATTAACTTGATGTAAATATTTGCATAAATCTACCTATTTTACCCTCGAGGTTTTGAGGAACAAGATTATTACATTTTTTTTAGAAAAAATCTTTTAATTTATTTTAACAAACATATATTAGCCATCCAAAATGCTACTAATTCTCGAATGTGTGTGCTATTGTGAGTGCGTGTGTGTGAGAGAGAAAAAAAGAGGAAGAGAGAGAGAGGTAGACATGTTTTATGTTAATTACTCCAAAAGATAACAATATACAAAAACCAGAAGGGAGAAAAAGAAAGAAAGAAAATCAATTCCCTTCTCTTTTCTCCCACACAAAAAAAAGAAAAAAAAAAAAAAAAAAAAACTCATCCTCTGACTTTTTTTTTCTATTACATGCACCCCACCTTCTTCCCACATTTTAAACATAACTAATCAACAAAAAGAAAAACAATATATTAAAATAAATAAATATAGATCACCTTTGCCTCTACTTTTCTTTTCCCAATCACAATTCTTGAAAGGGAAGAAAAAAATTTAATCTTTGTCATTTTTTGTTTTTTTTCTGAATGATTGGATAGTAACAAGGTTAGATAAATGGTGGTTTAGCCCTGGTGGTGGAGGAAGAGGTAATTAATCTGGTGCTTTAATTTGGGCTGGGGCGTTTCGAAACGAAAACAGAATATAATAGTGCGCGAAAAATGATTGAATGACATCAAGAAATTGAACCAGGCTCAGCTAAAGAATGGATTCTGCAAATAATAATTCAACTACTCCCAGCCCTCTTGCAAAAGATAGGCATTCGGGCAAGTTTGTTTTATAATTATTTTCGATGTTTCGTTATTTTTTTATTTTATTTTTTTGAATTCTGATCGTGAAAACGGCCTTTTTCGATCGTGTTTCGTTTGTTTTGGTGGCGATAATGTAGATATGGAATTGATGAAGGAGAAGTTTGCAAAGTTGCTTTTGGGAGAGGATATGTCGGGTGGGGGGAAAGGTGTTTCGTCGGCTTTGGCGTTGTCGAATGCAATCACGAATTTAGCAGGTATCTCAATTTTTTTTTTGTTTTCCTTAATATTTACAAAAAGAATTTGAGCAACATCAAGAATGTTGAAAATTATGAAGAAAATGATTTTTATTTTTTTTGGTACGTAATAATATGTTTACGTGAATGAATGTTTATAGCTTCTGCATTTGGAGAACAAAAGAGATTAGAGCCCATGTCGGCAGATACGAAAGCGAAATGGAGAAAGGAAATAGATTGGCTCTTATCCGTCACCGATTACATTGTCGAGTTCGTTGCTTCAAAACAAAAGGCGAAAGACGGAAGCACTATGGAGGTAAATCTCTCTCTCTCTCTCTCTCTCTCTCTCTCTCTCTCTCTCTCTCTCTCTCTCTCTCTCTCTCTCTCTCTCTCTCTCTCATCACATGACATTTCGTTCTTTACCAGGTTATGGCGACGAGGCAGAGAAACGATCTCCACATGAACATCCCTGCATTAAGGAAGCTTGATGCTATGCTACTTGTAAGAAAACAATTTCCTACCTGATTCTTGATTCTTGATTCTTGATTCTATTGCGTTAATCATGAACAAACAGGATTGTCTCGATAACTTCAAAGACCAAAACGAATTCTACTACACGTCAAGCAAAGACGAGGACTCAGGAAAAACGACAAGGCAAGAGGAAAAATGGTGGATCCCTACGCCAAAGGTACCCCCAAACGGCTTATCCGAGGTCACAAGAAAATGGCTGCAATATCAAAAAGACTCCGTAAATCAAGTCCTAAAAGCAGCTATGGCTATCAATGCTCAAGTCCTCTCCGAAATGGGAATTCCCGATAACTACATCGAAGCTCTCCCTAAGGTACAAATTAAAAATAAAATAAAAACAACGTTTTCGATTATAGTATTGTACTTATTCACTTTTTTTCTTGTGTATGTATTGGTAATAGAATGGGAGAGCAAGTCTAGGAGATGCGATATACAAGATTATTACAGAAGACTTTTTCGATCCGGATTGTTTGCTTTCTTCGCTAGACTTATCAACGGAGCACAAAATACTCGATCTCAAAAACAAAATCGAAGCATCGGTTGTGATATGGAAAAGAAAAATGAATGCTAAAGACACCAAATCCTCTTGGGGTTCGGGCGTGAGTATGGAGAAGAGGGAGCTTCTAGAAGATAGAGCCGAAACAATCCTGCTAATTCTCAAGCACCGTTTCCCCGGTATCCCACAATCCGACCTAGACATCAGCAAAATCCAATTCAACCAAGTAACAATTTTTTTCGATTTTTTTCTTTTAAAGATTCAATTTGTTCTTTAAGATTCATTTTTAACTTTTTTTTTGGGAATATATAGGTTTTGATTATCTTTCTCGATTATTGCAGGATGTGGGCCACGCGATTCTCGAGAGCTACTCGAGAATTATAGAAAGTTTGGCGTTTACAGTCTTGTCGAGAATAGAAGATGTCATGCATGCGGATTCTCTTGCAAGAAATCCACCGAACGCAGAACAGAAGAAGAACTCTGTTAAAGAACAGCCTAAGGAAGAGCAACCGGAAGTTTTGAAGTCCAACGAGGGCACACCTACTTCAAAAACATTGCTCGATTTCATGGGGTGGAATCTAGACCAGGGAGATACTAATAACAACAGTATGAAGAAAGATTCGATCGATGATGTTGGTAATAAGCCACTCAACAAACCGGCAAACGTTGTCACGAACAAGAAAATATCATACATAGAGAGGCTAGAGAATTTAGGTGGTCTAAGAAGTCCCACAGCACGCCACTAAGCCGTTTGATTCGTATGAAATGCGGGTTTTTTTTTATTATTTTTTAATATTTTTTTTATAAGTTGTAGTTCACTTTTTTGTAAGTAGGAAGAGCATTGGTAAACTGACTGGAATCCAATGTACTTTTTAGATGTCCGAAAAGTCCTACTAAGGGGAGGCACGCAGTTTGAAAGAAGGAAAAAAATCGAGTCTTGTGATGAATCATCGTACTTAAATATGTTTCAACGAAGAGTCGATCGAAAATAAACATCTAACTGAAAGATATCATAAATGATTTAACAGTAGTGTCACAAAGTAGTAGGCTTTGAATTTTACTTACAAAAGGTGTCGAAATATCAAAACGTCGAACAACAACAACCAATGGGATCGGAGTGGAATGTTCTAGATCCCAAGGAATCTAGATTTTGCCACGCGGGCCGAGCTTGGGTGGGAGCTGTGGGCCCCTCACGATCGGCAAAACGTCTCCCGTTGCTTGGGAGCTGACGTAGGCAAGGGTGGCCCCACCTCCTATTATCAAGAATTTGAGCAATAGACCTCTCTTTGTGAATGGTGCAGCAAATGTTTCAAAGAATTTGCTCTGCAAATAAAATAAAAATGGAAATTGTGAACAAACCAAATTTAAAAAAAACATGATTTATCGACCTGAAATGGTAAATGTCGTTTCAATTTTACTAATATTGTTTTGATCTCGGACATGATTTTAACAAATTTCTAGGCTGATTTGGCAAAGTTTAGAACCCGAAAACTATAGTCTTTTGAACTAACTTTCTAATTCAACTTGAATCAGTACTAGACTGTACGTCGGGGTGACAAATATATGCATGAATGAGTTACATTTTGAATTTCAGATAACTCAAAAAATCAAAGTTTTGAGCAGTGTTCATCGATTCATTTCATGCATATCTTTCCCAACGGAAATTCAATCTTGGTGATTCAAGTTGGACTAAAAAACTAACTCAAAGAACTACAAATTCCATATTCGAATTTTATCAAATTCAGACTCGAAAATTATCAAAATCACGCTTGCAACATCCCTTTTTCGACCAAGAGACATCGTTTCAATACACGGTAGAGGGTAAAGAAGTAATTAACAAGAATTATATATACCTGAAGTGGGTTGTACGGTGAGGGTGCATCGGAGCCGTACAAGTCCCATTGACCGGTGGTGTTGCCGATGTCCTCCAAGTCAAAGTACACACTCTTGTCACCATACTTTGCCACCACAGCACCACTCCTACACAAAACGGTGTTAATGTAAAAAAACCAAAAAATTACAGGGGAAGAATGTAATTATAGTAAAATAAGGGATCTTTTTGTAAGTTGTAATTACCCTTTTAATGAAAAAGAGAATGAAAATGAATTTCCATTTTCGACGAATTGAAAAGTTACCTGTAGTTAGTGGGCTTGAAGCTGACTCGAGAAGGCTTGACAATGAGCTTAGTTCCGGCGAGGGAACTTCCGGCGAGGCCGTTGACGGCGGTGGGCTTGGCGGATGCAAAGGTTGCAAGAGAAGCCATGTTTTTGGTACAAACTGTATCTCTGATCAATTCTGTGAGGACCAAACTGAAAAAATTAACGAACTTGATTCTTCTTTAGCAATTTTGATTGCATGTTGATTGGTTGTAGGTTTGCCACGTGGAAATCTTGATTTCTTTTGAGGAAATATTAGGATCTCATTTTAGAGGTGCCACGTGGATTGGAGCTGGATAAGCCTATCCCTATGGGATATTCTTATTTTATTTTTTTTTATTTTTTTTTTAATAACTATATTTCAATATAAAAGTTTAAATAAATAATGTATATTTAGTGAGAAAAAAATAGTAAGAATAAAATTATTTCTTCAGTAAAAACATATAGTAAACTTCTCCTTTTTTATTTTTATTTTGAAAACTACCTATTTTGGGTAAATTACGAAAGAAAACCTCATGTTTGGATAATTACAATCACCCATCAACTATGAATCTTTTTACACGTCCATCATTGTGTTGCCAAATTTACTAGAATATTCTAGATTATATGGAATATTCTCAAGCAAAATGATCATAATATGTGTGTTTTGTCTTGTAAATAGTAGATTGTGGTGCATTAGAAACTGCGTTTTTGCACAAAACAAGTACAAACTAGATAACATTCCACGGAATCTAGAAGAATTATGTTGAATTTGACACCATAAGCGTGGACGTGTAAGAAAATACATAATTGAGGGGGTGATTGTAATTACCAAAACATGATGACTTTTTTCGCAATTGGCCTTACCTCAAGGGGGTGATTGTAACTTACCCAAATATTTACCACTTTAAGGTGTCTTTCGATAAAAACGCGTTTAGAAAACGCGATTTTATCCATGAGCGGAGAATAGAAAAACCCCCTCCTTCCTCATCGCTTCACCTGTGTTGAATTCTATCCACCCCCCAAAAAAATGCTCCTCACTTCTCCCCCAATCCTCCAATTCAAATCCCTATCCCTCTCCACCCCCTTCCTCCATGGCGCCGCCGCACCCCTCTTCAAACCCAGCACCTCATCCGCCGCCGCCGCGGCGCCGCCGTCCTCCGTCAGCCTCCCAGTGATCAGGGCAATGCGGACGCTGCAAGGGCGGGTCGTCTGCTCCACCAACGACAAGACGGTGGCGGTGGAGGTGGTCCGCCTCGCCCCTCACCCCAAATACAAGCGCCGCGTGAGGAAGAAGAAGAAGTACCAGGCCCACGACCCGTTGAACCAGTTCAAAGTTGGTGACTTCGTCCAGCTCGAAAAGGGCCGCCCCATCAGCAAGAACAAGACTTTCTTGGCCGTGCCGGCTCCGGCCCGGAACCGCAACAAGTCCAAGGAGGAAGTCGCCGCCGCCGCCGCGGCGGCGGAGGGGGAGCTCGGTATTCCTTTGGAGTCGGAGGTTTGAAGAAATAAAAGGAGGAAGAGTTTTTTTTTTTTTTTCCTAGTGTTGTTTATGTTTCTTTCTTTTTGTTATTAATTGTAATGATTATTACATTTAGTTCCGATTTATGAAGTTAATTTTGCGAAAAATGAAAATGCTGTGTGTTTAATTTTCGTGTTTTAATGGCATTGTTAGCATGTTAAAATCTTTAGATTTGCATTATTCGAAGGTTCGTTTGTCGAGAATTCGAGATACGACAATCCCTTCGTCTAGTTGTTAATGTGTTCTTCGGAGTTTGTTTCCGAGAGAGGTTCGAGTTTCTTTAGAAGATGCTCGAAGTTGGCTAAAGATTTTAAGGCCTCGTTTTGTTGGTACGATAACCATGGTTGATCGAACAAATTGAGCACTTATTTGATGTTAGGTTAGTCGCTTTGTACAGTAACAAAAAAAACGAGTTCTTATCTTGGTGGAATTACGTAAGGTTGTGTTAATCGTCTCTTGATTAAATCGTATCTTGGAAATTAAACGAGACAGCTAAATGAAAAATGTTATCAGTCTTCGCAGTGCAAACTGCGTTTTATGTTCTGTAACGTGCAAGATATTAGTGTGTTTACCGAGTCTACAGAATCCATGGAAAGTTCAGCTGATGTAGCGTTGCTAATCAGTATTTGAAACGCGACAGTGAGCAAAGATCCTCCGTCCGTGCTCTTCTCATCCTGCCTAGTGGAAGTGAATACGAACGGCCTGGATTCGATCCCGTCGGAAATAATCGCGAAACCCGAGGGCAAAACCGGAATCTTGCTGGAGTCACAGCCTGTCATCACCGACTGCAAGCCTTTGATGTCCACAGGTGCGTACACCACCATCGACTCGTATGCGTTCGTACAACTGTCTTGTAGTACCAACACGCTCTGTTCTTCGCCTTTCATGTCCTAAATACAAAAAAAAAGTTCAAAAAATAGTTAAAGAATTGTAATATTAGGAAAACCCATAATTCACTTTTTTTATATAGGTGAAAATTCGATATACTTACCATGACTGTGACTGCGTTTCCTCGATCTTGCCCTTTCGCTAGGTTTACCGTGGAATGTACCGTGCTTCCGTTCGACATGATATCCCACTGTGATTCGTTCAAGAAAATATTTAGAAACAGATTTTCTTGAAACTGATATAGATTTATTTTATTTATTATTTAACCTCATTTCTTCGATTTTCGTCTCGGAGGAAATCGAAGAGGGCATGGTGAGAGAGAGGCAACCAGACGGAAGAAACTGCAGACAAGATTGTACCGATTGGCTCCCCTTGTTCGTTAAGGTTGTTTCGAAGGGACACCCTTATGTCATCTCCCGTTTTGCTGACAATCTTCTTCCACAAGATTCTTCTAGAACCTCCGATTGCTCTGCAGAAGCTCCAGCTCATTCGTTGCGACAGTGTCAGAATGCTTTTTCTCCCAGCAAGTGTATCTACACCTGTTTCGGGTATAACAAGCATTATCTCAAAATCGAACCTCGTTTGTGTCCTTTAAATCATGGTTTCGATTATAATTGATTATATTTATTACCGCTCGAATCCTTAACGGGGACATTTGTAGCCACATGGAAAACGAGCCTTTCGCACTGCTGCTGCAGCGTGCATATCCAGTGCCTTGCACCGAAAGCTAAGCCCTTGTTGACTATTGACCGATACAGAGAATGTATCGGGATTTTCTGGCATTCAATGTGCTCCACCCACGTCACCTTAAAAAGATGTACGAAACTTAGACTACTTTTTTTTTCCTTGATTTTTTTTACAGCAATGATTTATGAACCTTTTAAACTGTTATTATTACAACCTTACAGTGGCCGTTGGATTTATCCTCGATTATGCAACCAGAGGGGCGTTTTCGGCATTTCTGAGAAGAGGCGTCTATGTTGTCTTCGTCAATTGAGACGTCGACGATTGCCCACTGATAGGTACTTACTTTTTTGCAGTGTCGAAAGAAGTACATTTCTCTTGTGGCCACCATTGGTGTTAGCATTTGGATTTCCGCAAACATCTGTATTTAGTACAGGTTAACCGAATAAAACTCGTATTTTCTGGAACCTCGATTTCTTTAGTTCTTCGAAAAAATATTCGGATCGAAACTGGAATATTGTATGAATTTCGATTTACAATCTGTTTACGTTTTTTCGAAACAAAACTTCCGAAAATTGTATTTAAAAACAAAAATATCGAACTCCACCGATTCCGATCGAGTATTTTCAACTTTGGACTAACTTTTTTATTTCTCAGTCGGGACTTTGTCCGATTTCTGAGTTTCTTGTTATAAAACAAAAATAGAACGGAAATCATCTTTTACTTCCGAAAAGAATCGAAACCTTATCGAAGATGCTAGATAACAATACGAATAAGATTATATAGACTGCAATATAACTATCTTACCAAGTGAACAGCACCGTCTCCGTTTTCACCTTCTCCGTTGCAGATAACATCCACCGTTGAAGCACTCGAGATCAAGCAAGGAAACAATTCTTGCCACCGATTCTGCATATTTATTTCAAAGGTAAACTACGAAAAAAAATTAAATGTGCGGAAAAAAAAAATAGATTTTACCGCATCCATAAAACTCCGAACTAGCCATAGTAGATCAACAAAGATAATCGCACTATCTTTCGACGCCTCTATAGATTTATTCGGCTGCATTTTGTTATAATAATTCTCGTTACCAAACTGCTTTGTGTATTCGTCGTAGTTGAGTATCTCTCGTCCCGTTTCGTAGCTTGGGACCCACAATGGCTCTCTGTGAGTAGCCATTTTTATCAGTTCATTTAAAGCACTTTTTACAGTATCTTTTACACGCAATCTTTCCAATCCGATGTTGCCCGTGTTGAAATCGAACGAGCTTCGGTTTTCTTGATCGTTAATATTTCCAGGTGGTGAGCATGAAGAGGTGTTTGGTGATGTTCCCTGAGAGCTTTTTCCGATGATCGATCTCAGTTTCTCGACCTGGATGTATGTATATGTGTATCAGAAATACGAGCATACAAACATTCTTGAAAATTACATGGGATTTTTAGGAAAATTAATAGACCTCGGTTTTGAGGGTGGCGTTTTCGATTCGGAGTCTTTGTTCATCGGTTGCTGCTGTAATAGATTCTTTGCCGGAGGTGGTGGCGAAACCACAGTTGGGACAAGATGGGGATTTTAAGGTTTCTCTCAAAACCTTATTTTCGTCACGGAGTTTGTCCATTTCCGTTTTCAGTACCGAGTTTTCATGGCGCTCCTGAATAGCCTGTATAAAAACGGATGGGGTAAAACGAGTACAAATTAAAAAACGTTCCACTAAATCTAGAAGATTACACTTGAAGAAGATCCATTGTTGAGGGGTGGCCGTAATTATCCAAATATGAGGGGTGTTTTCGTAATTTGACATTATCTTTGAAGTGACTGTAATTTACAGTAATTTTCTGAATAATAATAATAATATTGGAATGATTTATTACCTTGATTTGGGTGCGACGATTTTGAAACCAGAATTTAACTTGCCTAGGATGAAGCCCTAATTGCTTGCTCAACTGTAGCCTTTGATTCTCATCTGGGTGTGGAGATTCCTTAAACAACCTGTAATTTTAAATTATTAAATTCAATTTTCAAAAAAAGAAAAGAGAAAAAAACGTGCCCACAAAATATAATATTTTATTTTAAAATAGAATTTATAAAGTTTTGTCGTTCATCCATTAATCTTCCAATTGGAAAAAAAGGCATATTAACTAATAAAAGAAAAAAAAATATATACACATATATTAAAATTTATAAATAGAGTAATGACAAAACAGATATTTTTTTTATTTTAGGCAGCAGATGTTTCTATATTAGGGAAAAAAATATGGGAAGATAGATACACACACTTATACGTATATTTAACAGCAGGAAATAAAATAAAATAAAAAATAAAAATACATACGCCTCCATTTCTGTGATCTGTTCTGGTGTGTGCCTGTGATATTTCTTTCTCTTCTTCTTCGTCTTCTTTTCGCCGCCATTAATGCAGTTCTCATCATCATCATCACATTCGTCGATAATGTGCTTCTCTTCTTCTTCTTCGTCGGAGCGGTATTTACCGGCGCCGGAATTCTCGCTGCTTATTTCCACAGTCTCAACTTCCCCACTCGCCGCCGTTGATCTACCGTCCTGGAAAATACCAGCCTTCAAGTACATACACACCGCAGAAGAAATTAACCATGTTAATTATTATATTAATTAATTTGTTTAATTTCACATGCAAATGAATTAATTAGTATTTAATATAGATGAAATTGTAATTAATGAATAAAAAAGATGGGTTTACAGCTTACAAGAGAGAGGGAGAGAGCTGGAGATGGAAGAAAAGCTCTCCTAAGTTTCGACATTTCTATCAATTGCTTTTGTTTATTTCTATTTTAATACATATATATATATATATATATATATATATATATATATATATATATATATATATATATATATGTACTGTACACATACATTGCACATGTGTTTTATTTATGGTTTAAAAGAAGATAAAAGTGAAGGGGTTGGAGATGAGTGGTGGGGGTGGAGCTCATGGCATCTCCTGTCGAGAGGGGGCGGCTGCTCTGGGGCTCCCTCGACCCCAATCTACTTCTCATCCAACCGATGAAGTTCCTTCTTTTATTTTTTTCCATCACCACTCTCACCGTATAATAATAATAAGGGTAAATTACAAATACCCTCCTGAGGTATGGTCAAATTACAAGAACACCCCTCTTGTTTGGATAATTACAACCACCTCCTCAACTCATCAAATTTAGTGGAATCTTCGAGATTATATGCAATATTATCACTTTTGTACCCGTTTTATCCCATTCAAACTCTACATTATGAAGCAAGATGATCATAATATGTGATTTTTAGCTTGTATATATCAGTTTGTGGTGCATCGGAAGCTGTATTTTTTACACAAAAAGAGTACAAACTAGAGCACATTTCACGGAATATAGATGACTATGTTGAATTTGGCACCATAGAGGTGGAGGTCTAAGAAAAAATCATAGTTGAGGGGGTAGATGTAATTATCCAAACAAGAGGGGGGTTTTTGTAATTTGACCATACCTCAGGGGGTGTTTGTAATTTACCCATAATAATAATAATAATAATAATAATAATAATAATAATAATAATAATAATAATAATAATAATAATAATAATAATAATAATAATAATAATAATAATAATAATAATAATAATAATAATAATAATAATAATAATAATAATAGTTACAAATTAGACATTAATTAATACAACAATATAGTTCTTCAAAAAAAAGTACAACAATATAAAACTTTGTATTTGTAAAGATAATAAGGTCGCAGGTTTAATATAAACCTTTTCAATATAAGTTAAGTTTATTTTATAAATTATATAAAGTAAAACTTTAATATAAAATACTATGTTATAAGTTGTGTGGACAATTTTAATACTAAAAAAATGTTTCTAATTTAAGCATCTTTTTAAACAAAGAGATTCCAAGTACAATTAATTATATTTAGAAAAATGTAAAGGAAAACAAAATATCAAAATGTAAAATAGAAAAAAAATATAAACAGAAGAAACAAAACAAAAAAATGAAAAAGAAAAATAAATAAATATAGAAAGGAAACAATCAATGTGAATATGTGATAAAGTTGACCGGTTGAATGGAGATGCCCTTAGGTACAAAGTTGACCGTTAGATGTATGGAGCTTAGGTACATTTTTAGGCTTATTTTTCATTTTATTTTGCAAATAATAAAAACTATTTTAAAACTTCTTATAGCTAATTGTCCCTAATTAAAATCAATGAATTAATATTTAATAGCGATGGAAATAAAAACTGGTATCTAATTTGTGCAATCATCCAAATTAATTCCATAAATAAAAAAAATAAAAAAAATAAAAACTTTTTCGAAAGTCGAGATCTTTTAGTTTGTCTCTCCACAATTTATAAATTCCATATTTTTATTCACCTAAAATATAGGATATGTACTAATATTAATATTAGAAGTGTAATTTAGGAGGGAAAAAAAATATTTTTTTTTTGTATTAATTCAAAAATTAAAATCAGATCGAAAATCAAAATCTCGTAAATATTCCAATCGGAATTCTAAGAAAAAAAATCAGAAAACTAAAAAAAAAAATCAAAATATTTTGAATTCGAAGCATAAAATATCGTTTCCAAATCGCAAATTATTTAATTGAATCGACCAGGATACAGTTGTTCAATACCCATTGCATTCATTCATATCAGACAAATTTTTATTTTTTGCCTGCCTATTTTTATATTTTAAATATAAACAATTTGATAGGTATATATAGTATATACCTAATATTTGACATCAGAATTAATATGGTGTGATGAATATTTAAATTGCTGGCACGTGCGATGAACTTTTATAAGTAATAATCAAATTAAATGAAACAAAAGAACTATACCAAATGTAGTAAAAAAAAAAAGTAGTGGTTCTGAGATTGATTGTTATTAAATGAATAGGGTATTAAAATGGTGAAAATTAAAATTCATTTTAGTGAAAATATATAAACTCCAAAGGGATAATTACAGTTTTGGTCCCCCAAGTTTGCACGTTTTTCATTTATGGTCCCTCATTTACCGCCGTCAACAAAATATACATTAATGTTGTCACATTTTAACACATTTCGTCTCTCCGTCTGTTTGACCTTTAAGTAGTAACGGTCAACAGCTGAATTTGGGGTTTTTCTTTGAGAAATTTGCAATAAGACCCCTGTATTCTTTAAAAATATTCTAAAAACCTCTAAAATTTTATCTAACCATAATTTAACCCCAATTTCATCAATTAACCAATGACCCCGATTTTTCAAAATTGGGTAATCCGACCTTGGCTTTCTTTTTAACTCGGTTGACTCTTTTTTCGATTGATTGTTTTTGCTGCTATTGACCGATGTTGAATGTCGGGTTAATCTTTCTCTTGATTTTTATTTTATTTTTGTTTAAATTGTTGCGTAATGGAAAAATATAATTTAAAAAAAAAATCAAAGCTGATAAATGGCAAGAAAAAAGTATCATAAAAAGGAAAAAGTTAACGCATCTCAATAACATAAAACTTTTAACACAAAAAAAGAAGATAAAAATAACGGCCGGTGTTAGCCCCAAAAACCGTTGTACTAGAGTGGTTATCTCAGTCCAAATTACTCCGCACATGCCTAATTCATCTTCTTCATATTTTTTGGGAAGAAATTTGGGATGCACTGGCGGTTCCACAAAGAAAAAATCGAGGGGAACAAATTATGGATTTTAGAATTTTTTTAAATTGTAGTTAGGCCCTAGAATTTTAGATAAAAACTTTATTAGAAGTTTGTAATTTTAATATTATGATACTAGATATTAATATAGTATTATTATCGTGTTCTACGGTAATTGTGTTGATCAGGAAAAAAAAAGTCAGAAGAAAAAAGTTCATAAAAAATCAAGAAAAATATAAAAAGTCAACATTGTTAACCTAGAATGCAATGTCGGTGAACGGCGTCAAAATCGTATTAAATAAAAAAGTCAATGCCGAAAAAAAAACGTCGGCCAACGGTCAGCGGAAATGCTGGTAAAAATCGGGGTCGTTTGTTAAAATTGATTAAATGATGAAATTGGGGTTAAATTAGGGTTGAATAAAATTTTAGGGGTTTTTAGAATATTTTAAAAGAATGCAGGGGTCTGAGTGCAATTTTTATCTATGAAAAATCCCAAATTTAGCTCTAATTCAACAATTGACCGTTACTTCTTGACGGTCAAACAGACGGAGGGACCAAATGTGTAAAAATGTGACAACACTAGTGTGTATTTTGTTGACGGCGGTAAATAGGGGGCCAAAAGTGAAAATCGTGCAAACTTGGGGGGCAAAAACTATGATTATCCCAAGCTCCAAATAAAAAAATAAATATATAAACTCCAAATAAAGTTGGGTCAAACCCATCACATTGGGCTTATTAAATAGTATAAAGATAAAATGTATGGGCCATTATTGGACCCACCGACTCAATACGTGGACCTTTTCGAAGTTGGTCCGAAGATTGTTTGTTGCAGTAGAACCTCGATAAATTAATACTCGATAATATAATAATTCGCTAACTTAATAGAATTTCCCAAGTTCCGATTGCATTAATTTAAAGATGTTTAAATGTAGTACAAACTCGCTAAAAAGATGCCCTTGAGATATGACGGTAGCGAGCTCGCCAACTCATCCGAACAGGCAAAGACGACGGATGGTTTAGGCAGCGAGCCGACAGAGAGTCATTGGAAGAAGAAAATTTGAAAATAATATCCCTAAATAAATGAGAAAAAGATGTAAATTACGACGCATCATCGTGTCATTTATTTAAGGTGATCTATTTATAGCATCATCGTATTATTTATTTATCTTCGTCGTCCCAAAATCCGACGCTTGAGAAGCTTTCCGACAATCGAGCGAGGAGAGTAGTTGAAAAAAGTTAAGGGAAAAAAGGTTTAGAGCCCACAATAAGCAACAATGTCTAAGCTAGCTGTCAAACGTTATTGTATTTATATGTCAGACAAAATAATATTGGTCCCAAAAATTATAATTAATGTATGAAAGAAAAATGTCAGTTGAGTTTGACAGTTGGATCACAAGCTCCTTTGACTGTTTCAACTGCCTTTCCTCTCGTTTATTATCTCAATTAATTATTTTTTTTTTCTTCAATTTAATTGAAATGGCTAATGAAATTGCAATTTATATTAATTAAATGTAATTAATTAATTGAACGAGTGTAGAAGTTAGATATCAGTTGTGACAAATTTATATATGTAGGGCATTTTCAGCTGATCAGTGTGTCTAGATAAACGTGCAACATTTACGTACACATATTAGTGAGTGATCCATAATATTACAACCAAACAATATTATATATCGAAAAACACGAGCACGTTTCCACAAATGATGACCTAGCGGTTCGAATAATTAAGTGAGGTTGTGTTAATTGATCTAGTTTCGAATCCCATCGAAAAACTCGATATGTCGAGTTTCTCACGGATGGTTAGTCCAGTGTGGTTTACGTCTCTAACAGGGGCGAACCCATAATCAAAAGTTAGGGGCGGGTTAAAATTTCCGAGGTTTGGGGCAGCGCCCTGAAAAAAAAATTTAAGTTTACAAAATACTGTAAAACGAAGTTTATATTGTTAAATTTTAATTCAAATAGTAAATATTATAATCTTATCATATTTCAAGCATCCGGAAAAAAAAATTAATTAATCCAAATCATTCTAATAATGTATTACATTTAATATCTTAACGATTTCAAAACGCCGTCCCATATTACTTTTTAAAGGTATTAATAAAAGCATAAAAAATAATTACATATTTATAATTTTTTATTAAAAGTAGTACTAGTTTTCACCATTTTGTATTAAATATAATATATATATGTGTGTATAGATAATTTATATAAAATTATGGTGTATAAAAAAATTTAAAGGGTTAAGAAACATATTTACAAAAAAAATTGAGGAGCAAGACTAATATTAAAAAAAATGTTAACTACAAAATAGCTAATGGTCTCTAGTATGATTTACAAGCTATTATACGAGAGTGTAGATTTACTCAGTGCACCTATATGGTTGGTTGCGGGTTCTGTCATTACTAAAATAAAGATAATTATTCATTTTTCTTGTTTTCTTTGTATAAAATGGATTTAAAGTTTAATAAATAAGATTTTTTAATTAAATAATAATTAAAAAAAAAAAAAAGAAAAGAAGAAAAAAGAAAACAAAAGGAGCTTGCATGGGCTGGCTCACTGGGCTTCATTGTTCGAATTGAATATCTGATGAATACTGAGTTTAAATGGGCCCAATTATTAGTCTTCTACTTTAAATGGGCCCAATTATTGGGCTTCTACTTGCATTACTGATAAATAGCCCTATTCTATTTATTTATTTTTCTATTTTTCATATATTTTTTATTTTTAAATGGTTCATAACAATAGTCATTGGCCTATTTATGCTAGTAATTATTAGCCATAGACATAATTAATAAATAAATGTACATAAAAAATAAAAATAAAAAATTCCATTTTACACCCTTTAAATATAATATGTTGGCATTGCAACTCGGAAAGAAAGAAGATAAAATAATTGCACTTTACAATCTTGAAAGATAATAAATCATTTACATTGCACCATAATTGATATTTTAAAAGTTATAACCAATGCAATATCACCTTTTAGTAGTGTTTTAAAATATTTGTTTAGAATTGGCTTGAAATGTAAAATATCAAATTTTCATAAGTATTTCGTCGGTTTCGATTAAAAAAATTACCCATTTCCAAATCTTCGAATCGCAAATTGGAATACCGATAATCTTTTGATTTTTGATCAAATTTTAATTTTAAAAATAATTCTGAAAATTCCATTTTTTTCCTAGAAGTTACACTCGTAATATCAAAATTTATTGTGTGTTTTACATATTACGTGAATAAAAAATAAAATTTTCGATTCCTACTAATTTATATGCAAAAAAACCGATTTTGGAACAAAAAATGTCATTATAACTGCTTAAAAAATAAAAAATATTGTTTTTTTCCATTTTGAATCAAATTAATTTTTTTGGGGTAAATTACAACCTCCCCTGAGGTATGTTTAATTTACGAAAAAACCCCTCTTGTTTGGATAATTACATCTACCCCCTCAATGATGATTTTTTCTTACATCTCCACCCTTATGGTGTCAAATTCAACATAATTATTTAGATTTCGTGGAATGTGCTCTAGTTTGTACTCGTTTTGTGCAAAAATACAGTTTTCTGATGCACCACAATCTGATATATACAAGCCAAAAAACACATATTATCATCATCTTGCTTCAAAATGTGGAGTTCGAATGGGATAAAACGGGTACAAAAGTGATATTATTCCATATAATCTCGAAGATTCCACTAAATTCGAAACCGCAAGAGTGGACGTGTAAGAAGATTTACAGTCGAGGGGTGGTTGTAATTACCCAGACAAGAGGGGGTTTTTGTAATTTACCCTTTTTTTTTTTGCAAATTTTTAATTCCAACCCTATCCTTCTCTAGTTTTTACTACCAAGTCAACGGTTGGCCAAAACGTTGAATTCATGAGTCATATTTTAGATGGATGCATTTCCCGGGTTAAACGGTGGGCCCCGCCAACAAACTATTCGGGCCGCCCCGTTGAAGCAACGGTGGAACCCAAATACCCAAATCAAATCAGATCAACCTTCCGCAAAAAAAATTCCAATCCCCCCTTCAATAAAAAAAAAATAAAAAATCATCAATTTCGTGATTGCAGATTAAATTCCCCCTTCGCAGATTCCCCAGGTTCAGAATCTACCACTCTCTGATACTGATAGATTATGTTTGTTCGATTCTGGCAATGCTAATTACTCACAGTTTTTTTTTTTATTTTTTTTTTTCATTTTCCCATTTGATTGTTGCAGGAATTTGGTTTAATTTTAGCTGAGTTAAGTTGTAATGAGGGGTCTTGATTTACAAGTTAGGGTTTGAATTTTGCGGATGATGTGAGTGAATGTGATATTCGAAGTGCTGGATCAAGCTCCGTGGTTGAAGATATGGCATGGTTTAGTGGGAAAGTCTCTTTGGGGAATTTCCCTGATTTGGCTGGGGCGGTGAACAAGCTGAGCGAGAGTGTTAAAAATATCGAGAAGAATTTCGATAGCGCCCTTGGCTTCGATGAGAAATCCGACACCGCCGGGAGCACTAGCGAAAGTACGAGTTCTTTTTCTTTGTGGATCAAATTAGTATGTTCTAATTATTCACTACACTATAGTTACATTTCATCTATCTGCAATATTTTTTTTTTTTTTTTTTTTTTTTTGTATTATGATGCTTATGATGGAACTAGCTCATAAAATTTCAATGCCTAAAGTTTGGTGAGTCTACGCCTTAGCCATGATGGAACTAGCTCATTAGGAATTGATAATCCAGTAATACAACTATATATACGAAGGTTTTATACTTGTATACATATGCTTGCATATGGCTAGAGTTATAGTAATTCTTTAGCATAAGTTATACTAATTCTTATATGAAAGTTTAATATATTGATCGTCAAGTAACCAAAAGTTTCTTCTTACAGCATCAGGTTTATGGCCTTCAGCTACAGACAGGAAGGCGTTGTTTGAACCCATAATGGGATTTATGGGGCAGAAGGGTGGGGAGAGTACTGCTGAACAGTTGGAAGAGCCTAATTCCTCAAAGCCTGCTTCACCTGTCAAGGAAGAACAACTTGCGAATGATAGATCAACAAATAATGCGAGTGAGCAAATTTCGTATGGAGAAGAAGGAAGTGAAGAAGTAAAAAAGGCAGACGTAGATACAAGATCTACAGAGGAAACAGACGATGGCAGTGGGGGGGAGCCGGAAGATAAAGTTACTGCAGATCCCAATGAAGCTGAGGTGGTTTCACTTTTGATTCCTGCTGAAGTATCTGAACAAATCCCTGTACAGGTTGATCAAACAGAATCTGCAAACAATCTTCAAAAAGATGAGAGGTCAGAAGAAGCTCTGCCTAAACTCTTGCAGTCAGCAGAAGGAGAATCAACAGGTCACATGGGCCAAGTCGAAGTTATAGCTTCTGTGCCTACGAAAGATCATGCTACCGAGTCACATGAGAGTATGGATGAACTGAAGGAAGAAGACGAAGGCGAAGAAGCAGAAAAAGAAAAAGAAGAAAAAGAAGAAGAAGAAGATGAAAAAAAAGAAAAAGAAGAAACAAAAGAAAAAGAAGAAGAAAAAGAAGTTAAAGAAGTTTTTCCAGCTCAAATTCCTGATGTATCATCTAACAGTCCAAACGAAAGCAGAATATCAGATGCTTCTGATACTCCTCATAAGACTGGAGATGCTGAAGATAGTTCCAAAGACAACTTGCCCGCTTTGCATCAAATCTATCTGGAGGCTTCTGAAGAAGCCTCGAATGTGGTTACACATCAGGATGATACCATTGTTAGCCCAGTTGAACTCAAGCAACTCTCAGGCGATAATAGTAATGTTAAAGAACAACATTTGGGCACAACGAGAAACTTGTCAGATATTGCAGATTCTGCAGCTGAATTGGACAAAGTGAAGAAGGAAATAAAAATGATGGAAACTGCACTGCAGGGAGCTGCTAGACAAGCTCAGGTTCTAAATTTTAATGCTTTATTCTTGAACTGGATAGATTATTTGCATGCCACTGCAGGATTTTCCTACAAGTAGAATGATTGTATCATCTGCTAAATAAACGAGAATTAATGTTTTTTTTCACAAAAACTACGTTAGCTGATAAGGTCATAATAAGTTCATATCTGTTGTTTGGGTCTGACCTTTCATGTTTGGTAAAATGGTTTAGGACTAATTGTAATTTCATTCAGTTATGTAAAGAAACTCTGGTGAAGAGATACATCTATTTGACAGATACAGTGGAAGCAAAACAGCCAATTCTTTCTCCAATTATTCATATTGCCGTATCATGTTCCTTTGGACTGGGAGCTAGATGGGACTGTAGATCATCAATAGCACTAAAGAGCAAATTTATTTTTAGATTTATTTTTTAGGAACTACAATAATTTATTATAATTATGTTAGGTTTTTGTACACCTTACTGTTTTTCCTTTTCTTTTAATTTTTCCCCATAGAAAAGATAAATAAATGCGAATCTGACAGTTTTCGAATATTTTCTCCCAGGCCAAGGCTGATGAAATTGCGAAGTTGATGAATGAAAATGAGCACCTAAAAGGTGTAATTGACGATCTGAGGGTGAGCAGATACTCTTCTTTTTATGTGGTTTTAGACTGTCCCATTAAGACTTCACTTTGCATGTGTATGTGTGTATGTGAGCATGTGTTTGTGAGTGAGACCGATCTAATGATTCCTTTTTGTGGGTGAACACAAAATAGAATGCAGAAAAACAGTCATAAGATTCTATTTATTCTGTGAATTAAGTTTTGAGAAATTTGATTTTGCTGAGGGTGATCAAAGATATGATTCCACTTGCCATTAAAATATGGTCAAGCATATGATTCCTAAAGGAAAAAGAGCGCCGGCTGATGCAAAACATGTGAAGTGCCCTCAGGATTGATTAAAGTTGGTGCATGTGAGGGACAAAATAAAAATAGTAAATGCAAAAAATAATGAATTTGTCCTTTAGACACACACACACACACAAACAAAAAAAAAAAAAGAATTTGTTCTATAGTTTCAGATACCAGGATGCAAAAGGCCATGCATTACATAAGGTTGTAATATTTAAATATGGTTGAATCTCTTTATCATAAGTTGCTGCATTTTGGTACCTCTTTTATCCAACTTCTAACATGTCCTGCAGATTCTTCCGCTGGTAGCTGAGTCATTATTAAGTTGTTTGTATTTAGTTTGCTTGTCTAGTATCATAGTGCACATATACTTCTATGGAGACTATTATACGAGTTAATATCTAGATGTTATTCAAGAATTACATGCAGAAATGTACTTACGGACATATATGCAAATTCACATTTAACTGTTTAAGTGATTTTCAGAGAAACACAAATGAAGCTGAAATTGAATCTCTGCGCGAGGAGTATCATCAACGGGTGGCAGCTATTGAGAGAAAGGTATATTTTGCAGGTGCTGTTTCTTGTTTAGTTTCATTTTCGTACAATGCTTAGGCTTGCTGTGTACCAAGGAAGTTCTTCCTATAGCTACAGCAATTACATATTTGAAATATAGATAGGTTCGAAGTACTTATATGCATTTGTTACTTTGGATTTGCAACACTTTTGTATTAATTAACTTTGTTATATATCTTCTGTTTGTTTCTGGACTTGAAAGTTCCCTATACAAGTTTTTAATGTGCCTGAAATTTGTTTGTCTGTTGAATTCACGGAATGGACCAGTCCGTCAATGTATCAAAGAATTGTTGTTCTAAATGGGGATTGAGTAATGAGAAACCCATTCTATATATCCAAATGTTGATAGCATGATCATGATGAAATTGACCATAGGTTCATGCTTTGTGTGATTTTCCGGGACTTTGAACAGTTTATTTCAGTCTTTTGCTTCACCTTTCTGTTGACAAGGGCCTTTTGCCTTGTTCATTTTAACTTATCCTATATGTACTTCAAAAACTTTTAGTTTCTACAAGGAAGAGTCTGATTTAGACAGCGAAAAAAATAGATTTTTTTCAATTGTCAATTAGCAAATGTATTTATCATGACAATCTTCGATAACAATGTCGAAACCTGATTTGGTTTCAATATAAAGAAATGGTATCCTTTTCTTTCTATAGCGTATTTATCCTAATCTTGTTTAAGTATAAAAGGATGAGTAATTCATTATCCATCTATCATGACGAAACTTCATGTTTTCTGGCATTATGAACCTGATATTTTTTTCTCTGTTAATATATAACTTAAGTGCTAATATATAACTCTTTCAGGTTTATACTCTCACTAAGGAAAGGGATACACTGCGTCGAGAACAGAACAAGAGAACTGATGCTGCAGCTCTTTTGAAGGACAAGGATGAAATCATTACCCAAGTGATGGCTGAAGGTATTAACAACACTATGAGCATCCTTGAAACAAGTTCTATACATCAAAAATTTGTTTGAACTAGCCCTTATTTTTCCAATGTTACATAGAAATGTGGAACAAATTTTTTTCGTTGTACTTAATATTAACTTTGGTAGAATCAGGACAGGCGATAACACGTGAAATTAGCTAAGATAGGATTGGAACTGTGTGATTTGATTTATTATAGATTAATTATTTTCGGGGTAATACATGACATGAAAGTTCTCAAGTTGATGCCCCTTCTCCTCTTATCATCTGTATGTCCCTTCCTTATGGGCAATACATGACCTTGGTAAACAGATTTTGGGAAATATTGAGTACAGATTGATAAAAAATACCTCTTTTATAGTGCTGGGCGACTTATATCTTTGTGTGTGTGTGTATCTTTCATAATTTTGGACTGAACTGGTATAGAAATACCAGTATTTGATTTCACATGCTTCTGATAATCTCCAGGTGAAGCTCTCTCAAAAAAGCAAGCTGCACAGGAATCTCAGATGAGAAAGTTAAGGGCACAGGTAACATATCTACGATCCTATTTCTTTTATTTGAGACCCAGATATCTACTGAAATTTTGACACGAGTCCTCCTACTATGCATTTTTTCTGTACTTTTCCTGGAAGCTAGATTAGAGAGCTTGAGGAAGAGAAGAAAGGATTGCTTACAAAGCTACAGGTAGGTTATCTTCTCTACTTTGGTTTGTTTTACCAACAACTAGTTTCATAATGACGCATGAGCATATACTATTACTACATATGTTAACTGTTCCCTGATTTATAATTTCCTGACATGAATGTTTCTGATATGTTTATTGGGCCTAGCAACATCTTTGTGCATCTGAGGCAATGAATTTAGAATTTGGGTCCCTATGCTCCGACTCTCTTGTCTTCCCCTGGTTTATTATTATTGTTAGTTGTTGCTGTTGTCATCGCCATCGTCGGTCTTTCATAAAGCCCATAAATAAGGAATACCATGTAGCACTTGCAATTTAACATTTTGGTATAGTTACATTGTTTATTTCAACCGTTTCACAATTGATCACATTTTTCTTTCCTTCCCACTTTTACTTTTAGCTAATCCTGTGGGTACGTTTTTTATGTTGTATGTCTCAATAGAATTGATGGATATTGATGTGTCATTCCCAGGTTGAAGAGAATAAAGTAGAGAGTCTTAAAAGAGATAAGGCATCAACTGAAAAGTTACTCCAAGAAACTGTAGAAAATCACCAAGCTGAAATTGCCACTCAAAAAGAATATTATACAAATGCTCTTAATGCTGCGAAGGAAGCTGAAGCACTAGCAGAGGCACGTGCAAACACTGAAGCAAGAACTGAACTGGAAAGTCGTCTGAGAGAGGCCGAGGAGCGTGAAAGTATGCTAGTTCAGACACTGGAAGAACTAAGGCAAACTCTGAGCAGAAAGGAGCAGCAGGTTAATATTTTGGAATAAATTGAGGATAATAATTCATTCACTCATTGGTAAATTAACAGTTGTCTAATTCATGGCGCAGGCTGTATTCAGAGAAGATATGTTTCGCAAGGATATTGAGGATCTTCAAAAGCGATATCAAGTATGTTTAGCCTTTTAAATATCCTTTTCTTTGATTCCATGTATGTGAATGTTTTTCATCTCATAAAGCATCACTTTTCCCTAGGCAAGTGAGCGTAGGTGCGAGGAGTTAATAACCCAAGTTCCTGATTCCACCAGACCTCTTTTAAGACAGATTGAAGCTATGCAGGTTTGAATATGTAATCACTTAGTCTATAGCATATTCGCCTACATGTTTGCTTTAGTCTTTTATTGCTTATTGCATTCATTGTTATTTTCAGGAAACTGCTGCGAGAAGGGCTGAAGCTTGGACAGCTGTTGAAAGATCTCTAAATTCACGGCTTCAGGTTTCTTGTGAAACATATTCTCTCTGATTGTTATTTTATGTTGGAGATATCTGAGTGCAATTTTCATCTTCTTGATTTGATGCAGGGAGCAGAGGCCAAAGCTGCAGCTGCAGAGGAAAAAGAGCGTTCTATAAATGAGCGTTTAACTCAAACTCTATCTCGAATAAATGTTCTTGAAGCTCAGGTTTTCACCTTCAGTTAATCATTTTAGTTGTTGAGATCAGGTTTGTTTTGACAATTAGCTTATGCTAGGAAAGTTTTTCAGATATCATGTCTTAGAGCTGAGCAGACACAGCTCACAAGATCTCTTGAAAAGGAGAGACAAAGGGCAGCAGAAAATAGGCAGGAATTTCTTGCTTTGAAGGAGGAAGCAGATACTCAAGAAGGTCGTGTGAAACAGCTAGAAGAAGAAATTAAGGAACTCAAGAGAAAGCATAAGGACGAGTTGCATGAAGCACTGACGCATCAGGAACTTCTGCAACAGGTAGCATGTTAATTTTATGATTCGTGTGGTACGTGCCCAAAATGCTTGTATGCAAGAATGTTTATTTTTATAAAATTGGTGACCGTCTTTGGTTTCCATAATTATCCCTTTTAGAGTTTTCCATGTTGAATATTTTTTATATATGAGAGGTTTTTTCGACAAATCTCTGAAGGATCATGTGATCTTGGCTGCTGGGTGGAAGAATGCTTGTTTTGTGTTAAGATTGAACGATTCACTAAAGTTTTAATATAATTGGCCATATGGATCATAAGCTTGTCATTATTTAACAGGAACTAGAGCGCGAGAAAACTGCTCGATTGGAGCAGGAACGAGCTGCCCGCCTTCAGTCTCCTGCCCAACAGGATCAGAGCCCCATAGCCAGGCAAAAATCAGCTGCCTTTGAAAACGGTATTTCATCAGTAACTATATTGCAATGACTTTCTATACTCATTCTACTTCTTGCATTTGATAATCTACTACAACAGGCTTGGCTCGTAAGCTTTCAAGTGCAAGTAGCTTGGGCAGCTTGGAAGAGAGCTATTTTCTGCAAACAACTTTAGATTCATCAGATATGTTTTCGGAAAATAGAAGTTTGGGAGAGGGCACTATGAGTCCATATTATATGAAGAGCAGGACGTCAAACACATTCGAAGCTGCTCTCCGTCAAAAGGAGGGGGAGCTTGCTTCTTACATATCCAGATTGGTATGAAGTGATTCTATATTTCTATAATTCGTGAAAGTTGCTTTTGGAGTTTGCTCGATTACAGTATGACTATGCAAATACTTCTACTAACTGTAATTTGTTATTCGATCAGGCATCTTTGGAATCCATTCGTGACTCTCTTGCAGAGGAGTTGGTTAAATTGACCGCCCAGGTGATACTTTCTGGTCTCTCTTTCCATCCCTCGGCACAAATTTATAAGTTACTAACCGGGGAAGTTAATATATCACCAATTTATAAGTTACTAATTGAGGAAGTTAAAATATCAGGTTTTGTCTACTTCTATGGAAGTACATGTTTATCTTATGGGTTAATTATGTACGATGCAGTGTGAAAAATTGCGGGTGGAAGCAGCTACACTACCTGGAATACGAGCGGAGCTAGATGCACTTAGACGGAGACACTCGGCGGCACTGGAGTTGATGGGAGAACGTGACGAAGAGGTTTCTTAATTTCTTATCTCTTTATTTTACAGTCACAAGATAAATTAATTTGGCAGAAGAGTCACAATTATGAAGGAAGTAGGTTATTATTGAATGCTGTCATACCAGAATGAATATTATATACGGGCCGTGTACAATGCAATATTCGTACTTGTGGTTCAAGAGCTGACATGTAACATATATTGCGCAGTTGGAAGAGCTTCGTGCAGATATTGTCGATCTAAAGGAAATGTACAGAGAGCAAGTGAACTTACTTGTGAACAAGGTACATTTTAAACACTGTTGATTGATTATAGTATATAATATCATTTGCCATTGTATATATTATTTACTTGCGTTTTCTGCGTATTTTCATTTTTCGCAGATCCAAAAACTAAGTACATCTATTGAAGCCGCACGATAGAAATCTTTCGCATGCGCCTATTCCATTTACAATAGTTTGTATACCCAATTGGTTTTGGTTCGATTGGTAACATTATTTAATTTTTTTTTTAACACTTGAACGTGCTCGAGACTGATGATTTCGACTCCAACTGTTATTGGGAGCATAATGTGTTGTATATCATGGTGATGTATATGTTTTTGGAAGTGAGAAATTAATTTCAATTCTATTTCAAAAAGTTCCGAAAAAACCGAATTTCGGAAATTGCAAAGAAAAAGCTTATTTCAAAATTGGAATTTTTGGGATCGAAATCGATTGAATCATACATTTTTATTTTTTATTTTTTATTCACCTATACTATAAATTATATAATAATATTGATATTATTCATGTGATTTTTGCATGTTGTTTTCGAAAATTTGGAGATTAAACTTGTTCGAAAATCGGAGTTTCATATATATTGTAATTCCGATTAAAAAAAAGAAAAAAAAAATTGAATAAAAGAATTTTGACGTTACTGATATATTCGTACTTCGTAATTTAAAAATAAATAAACTTTTAAATACATGAAATTTGAAAATAACATTACACAAATAATAAAAACAAAATGCTTTGAATAAAGAAGGGTAAATTTTTTAACTACCGATTCTGTGTCGATCACTCAGATGGCAACGTGTCACAATATGAAAGGGTGGGTGCACGAATACCCACAGCGAACCGCGAAACACCTGAATATAGCCTCTCCAACAACAAGGTACAGGTGTATCCATATGACTCGTGGCAGCTCTTTAGATGCTTCGTCCTTAATTTTTGCTCTACTTCATTAAAGCTACACTCACCTCACTCTACTTATCATGCGCCGGCCGTAAAAACCCAAACCCGCGGCGCACGTTAATCATCATATTATCTAATTGTTTCGTGATCGTCGATCAATCATCTGCGCCAACTTTGTATCTGAATTTCCATTGATTTCACGTTTCCTTAGCCAGCTGTGCATTGCCGAGGTAATCTAGACGGATTTTTGTGAATCAGAAGCGAGATACGAAATGTGTGTGTTTGTACGTGTAAATCGAGTGTGTATGAACTTCGCATTTTTTGTTGCTGATGCGAATATGCGATTGATTGTATGTGCGAGTGCAGATATGTATGTATATTAGTTGCAAGCTTTTGATAAATTCTGTTCAGGTGTCATTTTGTTTTTCGTGTTCTTTCGCTTTTCGATTATGATATTTAGTGAAACAGTTGATTGCAATTTTTTTAGGTGATCTTAATTATCAATAGTCAAATTTCAATTATAATGTAAGCTCTGAAATGATTTATTTTTATTTTTTGTGTGGAGATTTTGCTTTGTGGGAGTTTCTACTCTGTTGAATTTTTGGAATAAGATTTCTGGATTTAGTTTCGGATTAGGAAATCTTGAATTTTGATAATCAATTTGATGTCTACAGTGTAACTGAAGAGGTATGCGGGGCCGCCATATAGAAACCTTTTCGATGTACAAACGTGCATCGTCTAAAGACCATATCAATGGCGTCGATAGAGATGGAATTTTAGGTAAGCCACTCCCACATTGTTTTTATGTTTATTTTACTTACGGTGATTTGTAGAAGTAAGGCTGATACTGTTAATTAACAGTCACTTTTGTGGCCAATACAAATTGTATGGAATTACATAAACGCCCCTTCGACGTGGATTTTTCAGGCCAGTCACAAAGTGGTGTGTGGAAAGACGTTGCTTACCCTTCGTGGAAGCGTCCATTGCCGCATATTCTAGTGGCATGTTTGTCTTCGTTCTTATTCGGCTACCATCTCGGGTTTGTCCTATCTTTTTTGTCTCTCTTTTTTTGTTTCCAATACTTTTTTTGGTATTGGCTGGCGTTTATTCGGATATTATATTATTCAGGGTTGTTAACGACACGCTGGAAAGCATTTCTCTGGACCTAGGATTCAGCGGTAGTACAATGGCTGAAGGTACTACTTCATGTCTCGATCTTGTAATAAATGATTAATTAGTATGTAATGAATTTACTGAATTTAAACTCGACGTGTCTTGTTATTGTTTATATGAAGGTTTGGTGGTGAGTACGTGTTTAGGTGGTGCTTTTATTGGTTGTGTATTCAGCGGTTGGATATCCGATGGTCTTGGTCGTAGGAGAGCGTTCCAACTCTGTGCTTTACCTATGATAATAGGTGCTTCGATGAGGTATCATAAACTTTTTCTTTTAATCAAAATTAATTTATTTTTGATTTGTAATATGAAGTGTGTGTTTTAACGAACGACTCTCAGTGCTACAACAAGTGGGCTGGAGGGTATGCTTCTTGGAAGGTTCTTTGTGGGTACTGGGATGGGTCTTGGTCCTCCTGTTGCAGCTCTTTACGTGTCGGAGGTAATAAGATATGAAAGTCGATTGAATTTGTTTTTTTTTCTTTTTTTATTAAATATGCAAAGAATGAATATTCGAATTTTGTTTGTGGATTATGTGTAATGCAGGTTTCACCGGCTTTTGTGAGGGGAACTTATGGTAGCTTTACACAGATTGCGACGTGCCTTGGACTAATGGCGTCTCTCTTTATAGGTGCTCCGGCCAAAAATGTTCATGGCTGGTAAGTTGAATGAAGAAGAAGTTGTAGTCCGTAATAATAAATCTGTTGAAATTGTTCTGGAATGGTTCGTTTGACAAAGAATTTCAAGTACTTAATTGACTCTCATTTTAAGTTATATTTTGAGTCATTGTGGTGGATTTCTCGTCTCATTTAGAGTCATTTGAAATCCTTCAATCCGAATGATTTCTAAGCATTTTTTTTTATTAGAGCATCTTAAACTGAATTTTTTTGCAGGTGGAGAGTTTGCTTTTGGGTATCTGCTATTCCTGCTGCATTACTAGCTCTTTTGATGGAGTTTTCGGCAGAATCTCCAACCTGGCTTTACAAGGTAGGTGTTAAGAACTCTCTCTCTCTCTCTCACGCACGCACGCACGCACGCACAAGGCTTTCTGTATGATTTGAGACTTGTTCGACTTGTATACAGTGATATGTCCTCCTCCAAGTGTAGAATTGTCGTCCATTTAAATTTCCGACGGAAGATATGCTAATTGCGTCTATTACGACAGATTTGTCATTACCGTTTGTGTATGTTCCACATTGCTTTGTGTTTTTTTCTCGGTTCAGTTAGAGTTGTGTTGATTGGCTCAGAGGGGAAGAATCGCTCAAACTGAAGCAGAACTCGAGCGGCTTTTTGGAGCACCACATGTTAAATCCGGTATGACAGAGCTCTCTAAATCAGACAGAGGAGGTGATGATGTCGATGTAGTTAAATTTTCCGAATTACTCTACGGTCGACATTTTAGAGGTAGTTTTTTTTTTTTTTTTTTTTTTTTTTTTTTTTTTTTCCAAATATTATTTTCTTTCTCAAGTGGTGATGTTATTATTATTATTACTATTATTATTATTTATTTTTATTTTTGGTTTTGGCAGTGGTGTTGATTGGGTCGGTCCTATTTGCTTTGCAACAGCTGTCCGGTATAAATGCTGTATTTTATTTCTCCTCGACTGTCTTTAAAAGTGCTGGAGTACCTTCGGATATCGGAAACATATGTGTAGGAGTAGTAAATATCTCAGGTAATATGGCGCAGCAATTCCAAAAGTAATGTGTATATATATGTACTTATCTTACAGCCTTGTCTTTGTGGATTTTGCAGGATCAATTGTTGCGATGATTCTGATGGATAGATTAGGAAGGAAGCTTCTTCTTCTTGGAAGTTTCTTCGGCATGGCAAGTATTATATAAATTTCGTTTTAATCACGTAATTCAACAGTATATAATACGTCTTAAAACAATGTTTGATTGGATATTTTCGGAGTTCAGGCAGTGGCTATGGGTTTTCAAGTAATTGCAGCGAGTGATATTTTATCGGGGTCTGCAAATTTGTATCTATCTGTTGGTGGAATGTTGCTGTAAGTATTTATATATATATCTCAATCATATATACTTAATATCAAGAATTGCTCTATATATATATATATATATATATATATATATATATATATATATATATATATATATATATATATATATATATATATATATATATGCTCGTTCGTTAAGTTGTGGTTTTCTTTCGTTTGAAACAGGTTTGTGTTGAATTTTTCCTTGGGGGCAGGGCCTGTTCCTGGTCTCCTTCTATCGGAGATATTTCCGAGCAGAATTCGGGCTAAGGCGATGGCTGTGTGCATGGCTGTACATTGGGTAATTATTTAACTATTACACTTGTCATTAATATAATGACTAATGGTTTTCTTTTTTAATGTGTGGTTAATATTATCAGGTGATAAATTTTTTTGTGGGATTATTATTTCTGCAACTGCTGGAGCTTATGGGCCCACAGATTTTGTACTCGATATTTGCCATGTTTTGCTTGACGGCAGTGGTCTTTGTGAAGAAGAACGTTGTCGAAACTAAAGGGAAGTCGCTACAAGAAATTGAAATGGCACTAATTCCCGCTGATTAATCAGCCGAATTCGAATTGGCTAACCTTTGGAGAAAATAGTTTTTTTCTAATAAAAGTAAGTATTATTTCGCTTTGTTAGCCGGAAGAATTGTTACGTCTTGGCATTTCTTTAGTTGCTAGGAGATTGAACACGTATAGTTACATCAGAGATGCGTATGATATTTCACACGGTGCCACGCCTAAGAAGCCCGACACGATGGTCGATTCCTCGTATTTGTTTTGTACTATGTTTTTTTCTTTTATCTAGGATATGATGCCTAGCAGGCAAAGGCATCAGCGGTATTAGATATGTAAGAGAGATTAGTCTCTCTGGCATTTTGTAATGGAGCCAATACAAAGAGGGTATTATTACTATTTACCTAGCCAAGTGATGTTTAAACATTTTCTTTTATTATTTGTATTAGGGTAATAAAAATTACTTATATATAATTATTTATTTATGATTGTCCTTTTTAGACCTTATTTAATTATCTATTTTTACAATAAAATTGGCAAGGTTCCTTATGTTAGTTTTCCAAAAAATATTATCAATCACAAAATAGAAGGGGGTTCGAATTTGAAAACCAAAACACAACTATTCGATTTGAGATCGATCGATAAAAGTTCATTTGAGTTCGGTTTGCTAAATTATAAACTACGTTCTGAACACATTTTCGTTCGATGAACTGTGAAACATGATTCGAGTTCAAGCTCGTGTTCTAATTGTGTTTGACTCGGGTATAGCTCGTTCGAACTTGATTCGATTTCTTATCAAACTAAAGCAAACACAACTGGATAAAAATTCAAACAAGCAGATGTGCAACTCGACTCAATTTATTTTAACTCCTTAGTAGAAGTAATTAAAATTTGAAAGACATAATAGAGGGACAAATACAGTTTTCACCCCTCAATTTTTTTCCAATTTTATATTTGGTCCCCCATATTCACAAAAAATACATTTGGTCCCTCATGTTTCAAAAATTCAACATTTTTAGTCATTTTCGTCAAAAATAACGGAATCAAACGTGCTTCCATCACTACCGTAACTGATGGACTAATGATAAATTGAATAAAATAACCAAAAATGGTCAAATTATTGAAACATGAAGGACCAAATATGTTTTTTGTGAACATATGGGACCAAATATGTAATCCTTGTAAACTTGAGGGGTGAAAACTGCAAGTTTCCCACATAATATAGGAATAAATTCTAATGGGCTTTTAGTATAGAGTCCCAAGAAAGCCGGCCCAATTGCTGACCCGATAACAAAATCTGGTAATCGTCCTTTTCATATATTTTTCTCCATTTTTGTTTCTTCGTGATTTCTTTTTCAACTCTCGCACCCAGGTGAGCCCCCCTTCTCTTTTCTGTAGAATGATATTTCTTACATCAAATTCAAAGATGAATTAGAAATTGGACAATGATTTTGAAGTTCGTGTGATCAGGGATCATCACTCCGTTTTTTTTTCACAGTTTTACCTTTCCGTACATTTTCTAGTGATCCGCATGCGAAATTTCTATTTACACTGCCTCATTATATTATGTATAATCAAGAAAGAACATATACATGTAGTTTTCATCACTGGAATTCGTTCAAATTTCATAACAAGTCCTGGTGGTCATAGAGTAGTCTAAGTGTTTGATGGAATGCTTAGCTGAAAGTTACGATGCTGTTTTCATAATGTTGGTTTCCTATGGGGTTGGCATATTTGAAATACTTGAATTCTTTTTTTGTGGGTCATAGAGACGAGTTGCGGTGGAGGTTTTTTTTCGTAATCTTGACTGAAGACTGAGATTAAGAACCGAGTTCATGGAGAACAAAAATGAGGAAGTGACGACAGAGCGAGTCTTGGAAGCACGTGCCAGAAATATAAGCCACAATGTTCGGTGCACGGAATGTGGTAGTCAGTCCATTGAAGACTCTCAAGCCGACGTTGCGGTTCTCCTTCGTAAGGTGCTTGATTTTTCCATGCTTGTCCTGTATTTTCTTGTCGGTTCCGTAAAAATATTGTGGTGAGAAATTTGTTTTTAGGTAGAAATTAAAACTCTGGAGTCGGGTTCCTTTTTGTTAGAGTTAATAGGTAAAAATGCCACATGAATTTGGTGGGACTAATAATTATATTGGAAGTGCTTTTCTCATCTTACCGATTGATAGTGTTCTTTATGTTTAATGGGCAGTTTCATTGTCTCTTTAGAAGATATTAGTATATATGCTTCACTGCTAGCAAAAAAATATTGATATTATTAGTTCGTTACCATGAAGAAATATCCTTATACAATCATGTAGAAATTAGTTTTTTAGAATGATAATTTATTATTTTTATTCTATAACGTCCAATTGTTTTGTTTGTATGTGTGTTTGATTGGATCTTCTCTGAGATGTCTTGCATTTCTTGTTTAAGTTAATTAGAGATGAACTCCGGTCTGGGAAAAGTGATAAAGAGATCTTCCAAAAGCTGGAAGATGATTTTGGTGAGACAGTGCTTTACGCACCAAAATTCGATATGCAAACTGCTGCTCTGTGGCTGTCGCCTGTAAGTTTTTAGTGGAGTGCCTAATTTACTCCAATTTTCAACGTTTATCTCTCCATATTCGGCACTAATACCAGATTCTTTTGTTAACAAAAAATCCGAATACAGCTGTTTTTCGCTGGTGTTGCTGGAGGAATATGGGCTTACGGTAGGTATAGACAAAGGACTAATGTGCACATTATGACCTTAAACCTCGTTAGAGGAGTTGCATTAACGCCAAAGGAGAAGGAGACTATGCTAGATCTTCTCACACCGCCTCCTTCTCGAGGAGCTTCTTCTTGGTGGAGAAAATGGCTTTCTTAATAATTCGAGAGTTTTCTTTACTCATTTACCTCTACATTATCGAAAAATGAAACCTTGTATTTATCAATTTTATATGTATTGAACCGATAATTCTTGTTCCATCTTGCAATATTATATCTAGTAGAAACGGGTTTTTTTAAATTCCATCTTGCAGTTTTACATGCACTGATGAACCGAGTATTTGTGCACTCTGTCATTGGACGAAAATTTCTATTTTCTTACCCGTTCGTCATGATCATTTCAACATTTTATACATAGTATAATGCCGTCAATTATACCTTTAGGATCACGATTAGTTCATCACCAGGGGTATTATAAGTATTCAGATCGTGCAATTCCATGGGAAAACTTGCGCAAGTCAAAGAAGACTTGTTGCCATTCGCTTATCATAACAGCTCAAAAGTCAACTGGCCAGGTAATTAAGTACTAGTATAAAATTAACAAACTCAATGTCTATTGGCTTCCATGTTATATCCATGATTTTTAACTTGGTATTTTCCATGTCAGGGGACTCTTTCTCCGTGAACTTGGTATATTCCATGATTTTAAAAATAAAATGTTTGTTTTGTTGACTTGGGGATTTTTTTTTTTAACAAGTTGATGGTATTTTATTATTATGTTTATCTTGTCTAAAATGTACCAGATTGGCTATTATAATAAATAAAGGAGAAGCAGCTTGTTAAATTTCTTGATTATATTGAAGAAGAGCTTAATAACTTTGCAACTGTGGTGATAAGATGGGCAGAATCCAGGCCAGTCCAGAAATAGAAACTCAGGATCCAGTCCAACAGGTAAACTCTTATCCTCAGAATTTTCAGACAGGACAAACTCCACAAATCGGGAATCCATGGAACAGTGGATTGTTCGATTGCCATCTGGATCAAACAAACGGTAATTTCATTATCTTCATCACTATGAAACATAATGTTTCAAATTTTATTTATGTTTGTTTTTTGTTCCTTACATATAAGCCTTTGACATGTATAAACTTGTCCAGATATGTATTCTTGTTTTTTTTATTAGTTATAACAGGATATATGTATAAAAAAATCGATAACTGAAAAATTCCAATGGCTTTTCGGAATATTGTATGTCGTTGCCATTATCAGCATCTGAACTAGTAGAGCTCATAGAGTTGAATTCAATTTCTTTTATTGTCGAAAATGGAAAGAATTTTGATTTGACATTCTAATCCTCAGAAGAGCACGTTCAGACAGACACATTTCGTCGATGAAAACTTGCTGTTCTAAAGTATTTGGAAAGTCAGAAATGAAATATTCTGAGATTTTACGTGCACATCGATGTCTGAGAGAGAGAGAGAGAGAGAAATTAACGATCCAAAAAATGTAAAATATATTTAACTTGTATTTCTTCGTTTTGCAGCTTGGATGACAGCTCTTTCTCCATGCGTGACATTTGGACAAATAGCAGAAGTCCTCGATGCTTCCGAACCCTCCCAAGGGTCGCAACTTAGTAAGCCCTCTATTACGAATGATGTAATAAAATCCGATTTTCAATCATCAATATAGTTTTTAATGTAATTGTCATGTTTCATTTTTTTCACAGCTTGTCCAATTGGAAGTCTGATTTTTCTGCTAATGGGAGTTCTGTGCACCAATACTTTAATCGGCTCCAAATTCAGAGCAAAGCTTAGGAAAAAATACGGTCTAGTCGAAGCTCCGTATCAAGATGTGTTGTCACACCTTATATGCCCTTGTTGTTCTCTCTGTCAGGAATTCAGAGAGCTCAAAAGTCGAGGCCTCGATCCTTCCCTAGGTATAAACTAAAATCATATTAACCAAGTATTTCTGACAAATCTTGCCTTCTACATAATTTTATTACAAGCATAATAGTATTAACTGCGTTAAACTATTATCGAAATGCAGGATGGCAAGGTATCCTTGCTCAACAACAGGCAAATCAATATGGAAATGTACAGATGAACACAGCTCCACCAGCTCAAGCTATGTCCATGTAAAATTACGACGCTTTTTGACTCTTCTAATGTTTTTTGAGTTGCGACAAAAAAAAAAAAATCTCGTTTATGTTTGATTTTCGCATACTTGTAATGCATGTTGAGTAAATGTAATAAGTTAAAACTATTTTGTATCTTGAAATTCGATTGAGCCTTTGACTATTTAATGCCATGTTTGGATTGAAGCTTTATTTTCCGATCTTTCCTCTCCTTTTCAAGAATGCATGCATGATTATCTACTAATGGCAAGCTTTATTTTACCGTTTCTTCGTTTTTTCGTTTGACAAATGAACATGCAGAAAATCGGTGTTCGGTGAAGATACCAGCCGACTAGACATTTTCGTTGAACAAACTATATAAAGGGAATGCAAACAAAACTCGAAAAAAAAGCTTAATCACAGAACAACTAGTGCAACTAGGAAAACAGGACCATGTGTGAAACCAAAGAACAACAATTTTGGATTATGTGCTGAAATCCATGACTCAAAATTGTAATGATCCAATTTCATGGGACCCCTTTTTGCCTTGTCCCTTTAGTTCAAAGTAAACTTGCATTGTAAGTTGACTTTATAAATGTTTGAAAAGTCTGGTTAACTTTTATGCAAATCCTTACAAGAAAATAAGGTTTATAAATGAACAAGTGTAGCAAACTGAGATAATAATCTTTAATCTTGAAAAAATATTCTCCGATTATAATAATATGGGAAGAGTTCAAGCGACGGAGGAAGTCGAAGCTACGGTCACAGGCGAACCGGTGACATCATCATATCCTCAAAACAATCAAACAAGACAGCCACCGTTTGTCGGAATTCCATGGAGCAGTGGATTCTTCGACTGCCACAAAGACCAAACTAATGGTAATAATATATATACTTTCAATTTTTTTTCTTCATCAAAGTAGTCGTTAATTGTATTTTTAACGTCGGCTAATCGTATTTCGACAGCTGTCATGACGGCGTTTTGCCCATGCGTGACGTTCGGACAGATAGCAGAGGTGGTGGATGAAGGACAAATGAGTGAGCCTACTACAAACAAAAAAAATTCAAATATCCGAATTTTCGACTTTTTTTTTTTCGTTCGATAAAATTATGTAAATATTTTTATTTTTGCAGGTTGCCACGTGGGAAGTTTCATATACATGCTAATGATGCCGGCAGTTTGGTCACAGTGGCTAATGGGATCGAAGTACAGAGAGACGATTCGGAATAGATACGGATTAGTCGAAGCTCCGTATCAAGATGCGGTTTCGCATATTTTCTGTTCTTGTTGCTCCCTTTGTCAGGAATTTAGAGAGCTCAAGTACAGAGGCCTTGATCCCGCTCTCGGTACGTACGAAAAATAAATAAATAAATAAAAACTATTAATTATTTGAAATAATTAATCAAGGTTACTGATTTGATTAATTATACAGGATGGAAAGGGATTATTGCAGAGCAGCAGCAGCAGCAGATGAACCAAGCTCCCACATTTCAAGTTATATCTTAAGTGAAGACTATAAATATAAAGACTGTTGTTGTTTTCTTGATGTACTAAGTTTTTTTCATGGTTTATTATTTGCTTCATTTTGTAATATTGTTTGTCCACATCATATGTTGGAACGAAATTTCCGAATTCTGCCCATTCTGATCCGAAATTATCTGATTTTGGAACAATATTATACAATTCGAATTCCGTTTTTCCGACATTGTTTAGATCGGAATTGAAATATATATGAGATTTTGATTTCCGATCCAATTTAAGTTCAGAAAATTGTGATTTTTCCCCGAATGTTGCTTAAAATTTTAAAATATCAAAATTAATATGTAATTTATATTTTAAGTAACCAAAAATTGGAAATTTCTGAATTCTCCGATCCGAAATTTTCCAATTTTGAAACAAGTGTTTTCGTTCCAATTTTCGTAATTCTGATTTCCGTTTTTTCCCGATGTTTATGGAACGGAATTGGAACTAGTTTTTCACTTCCGAAAAAAATGGAATTTCCGAACGTCCGATTTAAACCCCTAATTAGAAGTATAATTTATGGTGTAATTACAGTTTCAGAATTAATTTTGAATATTAAAATTGGATTTAAAAATCGGAATCTCATGTATTCCAATTTCGATCCGAAAAAATTATGAAAAAAAGAAAAAAAAATAAAAAAATAGAACTATTATTGCGGTGGGCTTTTAATTGGTTGTTGGGCCCATAAAGTGTTGATAAAATGATTAAAATCATCTTTCCTTTATCTCGACTTCGATTTCCATTTAAAATTAACTTTAGTGAATTAAAAAAAGAACTTTACTGAATTGGTTTTAACTCCGAATTAAATTGAAAAACAAATAAATAATAAACTATATTTTATGATAGCGTAAGACGTAACAAAACCCAAAATTTTGAAAAATTAAAATTGAACTGAAAATTGAATTCTCATATATATATTCCAATTTCAATTAAAAAAAATCAAAAAAAAAAAAATCGAAAAATATTGTTTTAAAATAAAGAATAAATTGAATCCAAGCAAACTCATGAAAATCGAAATTACTGCATTAGAATTCCGCCTCACTAAAAGAGTCGGTACCTAATGGTTCGAATACTGCCCCCTTCCCCTACTTCCTCAATTTGTTCGCGATCTGAATTTCTAAAAAAAAAATTAAATTAAAACTATAATAAATATTTTACCAAGATTTGTCGCTCTCATTCTTACATAGAGCAGATTTGAATGTTTTTAAGGTTTTTTTTTTTTCAAAAAAAAAAAAACAAAAATGTTTTTAAGGTTTATTAGTATCAATCAGTCTCTTCCCAGAAAAAAAAAAAAAAGGCCACCTTTTTCCACTGTTCGCTCCTTCATTTTCAAACATCCCTTTTTTTGTCGCTTCTCACCAAACAAAACCAAATCCCTCTCTCCATAACTCTCATTCAATAGGGTAAACCTACCATTCACAGGTTTGAACGAAACCAAAGAAACCCACAATCAAGAACCCCACCCACCCCCAAAAAAGTGATGCAGCAGTGCTGTGGGGCATCTTTTTATTATTTTAAATTTTATTAAACAAACAATTTAATTTCTGCTGTGAATTTCAGACCCAACTAATTACGTGAGCGTATTTAAGACCACCAACCCCCTCCCATATGGTCAATCTCAAAAGATTCTTGCATAATTGCACCTCTTGCTCTTGCCGTCAAGATCCCTTTTCTTCTTTTTATGCGGGGTTGAGGTTCTTGCATTCTTTGTCTGTGTTTTCTCTTCGATTTTCCAGCTTGTGCTCCTCTCAGCCTCGCCTTTTCTCTTCTGGTAATCTCTTTTTTTTTGGGCATTTATTTGATTGCGTTATTGAGCTGTAAAATCATAATCCTGAATTGGGAATTATTGGACTCATGATCACTTACTGTTCGACGAAATGTCTTGATGATCAAGAAAATATTTTGTTTTGTGGGATTTATTGCTTTGGTAGTAGGAGTTCAAATTGCATTTGTGGTTGATAAGAGTAATTGAATTGATTTTCCATTTCGGGTCGACAATTGGAAATTGAGCTGGCTTTTTGGTTCTACGGCTTTAATGGTTGAAAATTCTTGATCTCGTAGTAATTAAGGACTTGAGAGACGAAAGAGTTGTGTGTGGGCGAAGTGATTTGTTCTTGAGCTCGATTATGGACTCGTGACAAAACAATCTCAAACTTGTTTATCTTAGCTCAGCTAGCTTTTGTTGAATTCCGTCGAAAATAAAATCCGTACTTCGTATTATTATGCTCAACCATTTTAATTCAGTGTGTAGTTAAAGTCGGCTTGATAGTGATTAAGTTCAGCTTGATCTTATTCCATTTAGCTCTTCTTTGATTGTGCTTGAGCACGGATTTAGGGTATTCCGTTAAGTTTGTCAATGACCACTTTTGGAGCCGTAACTCTTTTGACAAGATTCCTTGATTTTGAAATCTCATTATTTTGCTATCATATATGAATCTCGTGCATTTGTTTGGTTCGGTCGTTTAGGAGTTCTGTTATGTTTGAGACATTTCTTGTGGTGTTTGACTGTCTTTTCTTCTCTCCGGTTTACAGATACACGTAATAATAGTATACTTATGGAAATTGTCAAGGCGGTTGCCCAAAAAGGATCTTTATCCCCAAAGAGTATTGCAATAAGAGCTGATCAGAATAGTCACAGTTACCACCAGCTGATCTTATCCGCTCGGAAAATATCTAACTTGTTACTAAATCCCGATTCGAAAAATGTAAGGAATGGTGTAAACAATCTCTACATTTCCTCTTTTATTTTTCCTTTTCTTTTTCGGGGTTACATCTTGGATTCTTAGTTTAATGGTGCATTTACATATTTCTCCCCGTGATGCTTTTTTTAGGCCAATGAAGTCGGAGAAAATAAAAGTCTAGGTGGAGCTAGGGTTGGAATAGTTGCTAAACCTTCACCCGAATTTGTAGCTGGTGTACTCGGAACTTGGTTCAGTGGAGGTGTGGCGGTCCCACTTGCACTTAGTTATCCCGAAGCAGAGCTTCTTCACGTCATGAATGATTCGGTTTGTCCATCACTATTCTTTTTAGCATTTCGTAAATAATTCAAAGTGACTTGGAAAAAAATATTGACCCTTTTTTTTAATGTTTATTTTTGATATAGGATATTACAATGATTTTAAGTACGGATGATCATCAAGGAATAATGGAAGGCGTCGCAGCAAAGACTTGTGCTCGATTATCCCTTCTTCCTCATGTTCCGAACGTAATTACAGAGTCGACCGAACTTGATTGTTCGAGTAATGGAGAATTCAAAATTTCTCATGAGATAAATGGTGTGTTTTTTTTAAAAATTATTAATTTTATTTATTGCATGATCGTTGTTGTGATATTTTCGATGCTTTTTTTAATGTAGGAGAGGACCCTGCATTGATTATATATACTAGCGGTACTACAGGAAAGCCTAAAGGAGTTGTGCACACACATAAAGGTGTTCTATCACAGGTACTTATACTAGAATTTCTTGAATCTTCATTATTTTGGTCTCGTTTTTACGTCAAAATTCCGTCGTATTTTACTTTCGATAATAATCGTGATTTTTAGGTTCAAATGCTGACGGATGCTTGGGGTTACACATCAACCGATCAATTCTTGCATTGCCTGCCATTGCATCATATCCTTAAAACGAGTTTTTGCTTATATATTAATATTACTTAAACAATTACTGTAGTACTCTGTTTTGTGTGAAAGTTCCTTTGTTGGCCTTAACTTCCTCCATACACGTGCATGGTCTTTTCAATGCTTTGCTTGCCCCTCTCTACTCGGGTTCTACGGTAATTTTCCTCAAATTCTAGTTTACATCTGCAAATTCCATTGAAATTTCAAAGATCAATTTTTTAACTATTCTAACTCTTTTTTTTTGGGTAAAAGGTTGAATTCATGCCAAAATTCAGTGTGAGGGGAATCTGGCAAAGATGGCGAGAATCTTATCCAGAGAATCAAACTAAAGCGGATGATGCTATTACTGTGTTCACTGGAGTAAGTTATACCTTTTGATATCTTGAACTAGAAACTTACATTTCAAATATTTTTTTATTTATTTCCCATTTTTTTGTTCATTATCAATAATTCTCTGATAATATTAAGTAATAGTAGTATCTTTCTGATTTCGTTTTTTTTAAATCAATAACTTGTCAATATAACATACCGTCTTCTAATAGCTGAGGTTATTGATTTTGATTATGAACTAGCGGACGAGTTAATGTGCAATCTAGTTTTTCGGAGGAAATTGAATATTTAATAAACGATGTATTTCCCTTGTGTAGGTTCCTACAATGTACACTCGTTTAATACAAGGGTATGAAGCTATGGATTCGGAATTACAAACTGCTTCTGCTGCAGCAGCCAAACACTTGCGCCTTATGGTAATTTAAATTATTGATCCATTCCTTTTTTTTTTTTAATTTAATATATGTCAATATATAATATTTGTCGATTGACAGATGTGTGGCTCGTCGGCTCTCCCTCTTCCAGTCATGCAGCAGTGGGAAACTATCACTGGACACCTGCTTCTAGAACGTTATGGAATGACCGAGGTTTGTGTTTTTTTTTCGAGAGGGATTTGTTTTGTAATTTTAATATAATAAATTATGTCTATCTGTCAACTTTTATTGATGATCTCGATGAATGTATTTCTTTTTATCATTTTTAATTTTTTTAATGGCTTCGTGTTTCTAGTTTGTCATGGGATTATCTAATCCCTTAAACGGGAAACGGAAAGGGGGTACAGTTGGCAAGCCACTTCCTGGTGTGGAGGTTAGTATTACGAGGACCGGAAAAATAATATTTTTTCTTCATTTGTTTTTAATATTCTATTAGATATTGAACAACTTATTCTGAAACTTATTAAATTGTGAAGGCCAAGATTATCGGAGAAGACGGTCGTGTGGATGCTGACGTGGAGGTGGGTGAGCTATGCATTAAAAGTCCTTCGTTATTCAAGGAATATTGGAAGCTGCCTCAGGTATTTTTAATCTCACTAACTATTAAAATAAAACGGAGAAAATCTAGTTTGGTTATTCTCTCTCTTGTTTTTTAATGACTGATTTTTTCAGGTGACTAAGGAGTCGTTTATTGACGGTGGATTCTTCAAAACTGGAGATGCTGTTCGAGTGGATGAAGATGGATATTACGTCATTTTAGGACGTAAGCGTTGCTTATATATATATATATATATATATATATATATATATATATATATATATATATATATATATATATATATATATATATATATATATATATATATATATATATATATATATATATATATATATATATATATATATATATATATATATATATATATATATATATATATATATATATATATATATATAATGCTGGAAACAATTGCCTAATTATGTTAATGCCATATAATTCAGGTACTAATGCTGATATTATGAAGGTTGGTGGTTACAAATTATCTGCTCTAGAAATCGAAGCAATTCTTTTAGAGGTTCGTTTCTCGTATCTCCCCTTTTTTATAACCGATCTGTTTAAAAAAAGATTCAATAAATTTTATTTAATTCGTAACCTTTATTTTTGCAGCATCAAACTATTTCCGAGTGTTGTGTGTTGGGGTTGCCCGATAAAGACTATGGGGAAGCCGTGTGCGCAATAGTTATACCTAACGAAGAAATTAAAAGAAAACGAGAAGAAGAATTGAAGCCTGCTCTAACTTTAGCTGAACTTTCCATGTGGGCTAAAGAGAAGCTTGCACCTTACAAGGTATAATTATATCGAGATTCTTATTTTTTCTAGACGGATATTTGATAATAATAAACGTGCGAACTTACGTTTTTTCAGATACCGACTCGTTTATTATTGTGGGAGTCGCTGCCTCGAAATGCCATGGGAAAGGTGAACAAGAAGGAGCTGAAGAAAAAGCTAGCTGATCAGGTTTAAGTAAAGCTCTACTTGATTTATATATGGGCATTTTTGGAATATTTTATATTTTGATTTTAGTTTTTGTATTTTGGTGCTGAAAATTGTTATTGTGAAAGCATAACATTTTATTTATTTAATCAATAAATCATGATTATTTATCAAGAAAATTGATACAAATTCTCTTCAACCCCTTCACCATTCTCTGCAACTCTGTCAACACAATCTCCATAAAACCAGCTGCAAATGAAAAAATAAAACAAATTCAAGAAAGTCAATCCAGCAAGAAGCCAATAGTAATACCCATAATGCCCCTCATTAATATTACTCGAAACCCAACTCCCTTTCCCGCCGCCGCCCGTAGCGCCGTCCACCGTACTAAGCACGACGCTCGCCGCCAAATTCGCCACCGCCATCCCAACCCCGAACAACGACGAAGCAACGCTCGACATACTCCTCGGGAACTCCGTGTAATAAAACTCCGTCTGCCCTATTGCACTAAACGCCTCCGCCAAACCCGTCAAACAATTATGAGGCACGAGCCACAAAGCCGACATGGCCAACCCTTGCTCGACCGCCTTCTTTCTCCGAACATACTCGACGGCGCCGGAAACCGCCATGGATACACCGGAAAGGAATATTCCGATCCCCATTCTCGATTTTGCTCCGATGTGGATTTTCCTGTCAGAGATTCTCGATGCGAAGGGGATAATCGCGCGATCGTATAGAACGATCCAAATCGTTAGGGTTACGACGGAGAACATTCCGAATGAGCCCGCCGGAATTTGAAATGCCGATGAGCCAATGTGTCGATCCATGGAGTTCGCTTGGAGTAAAGGAAATGAACTTTGACTTATGTTTATGGCCGGCATTATTCCCGTTGACCATGACGGAGCGACTCTTAAGAGGGCTTTTAGCTCTTCTACTTGTTCGATCGAGCAAAGATTCCAACGGTTAGTAAAATATACTTCTTGAGGATTCTTGATGATGCAAGCCTTGTTCAAGAACCTAGAAAATCAAGAAGAACTTGTTGCATTTAGCACCCCATCTTTACTCTAATTGTTAAAAAAAACCCTCATGTTATGAATATTAGCAAATATCCCCCTACATTGCAATTTGTTTTACCAAACTACCCCTTAAAACCCCACTTTTTAGGGTGTCGGCAATTATTGGAGGGGTTTTGCTAATATTTATAATACGAGGAGTTTTTTAGCAATTCGATACAGCATTACGGTATCAACTGTTAAATGCAATAAAATCTTAAACTATATATCCTAAAAAATGTATTGTATTCAAATGCTTGATTGTTTTTTTTGCCTTAATTTGTTTGTTGGAGAAGTATAAGACGAGCCCTTTTCGCGATAATATCCATTCGAGTTGTCCGTGGGGAAAGAAAGGGTTCGATTCTTGTAAGCAACGACGACTACTTGCAAGAATTGGGCTAATAAGAAGCTCTCGTTAGATTTGTGCTTGATGTACAATTTGGAAGCAAGAAAGAAGAGGAGAGTGGAGAGAAGCATTAGAATTGCGGGAACTCCAAAACCCACTTCCCATCCGATCCGATCTTGGATATAAACGATGCCCGTTAGAGCTATCAAGACAGAAATAGAGGCAGAAGCGTAGTACCACCCGAAGTAGCTCTCTAATGTGTTGGTATTGTTTTTAAGGTTGTGTTTTTTGTCTAATTGGTCTGCACCGAATGCTAAGGAGCATGGCCTAATGCCGCCTGCTCCGATCGACATTAGGGCGAACGAGGTGAACAGGAGAGCGCGTTGTGCTGACGTGGCGGGTTTGCAGTGCGTTGTGAATTGATCGCATGACGGTGGCCTTACGTGTGGAATTGCGGCGGTTAGCCATAGTAGGATCATTCCCTTGAAAATCGAAAAAAAGGAGTAATTAATATGCATCATTGAAAATAAAAATCAAAAAATAAAAGAATCCGCAAAACGACAGTTAATTTGAGATGGCAGCATTTTTACTAGAAGAGTGAAGATGGAGCCGAGGGCGATGGTTAGGAAACGGCCAAGGAATGAATCGGCGAGTAAAGCGCCGACAAGTGGCGTGAAATTAGTGGCTGCGGACCAGTAAAAGATGACATTGGTTGCTTTTGTGACTCCCATTTTGTATTCATTCATTAGGTAAAATATCATGTTGGGCAGCAAACCGTAGCTCGCCACCTTCTCAAACGCCTCGTTTGCTGCAAGACACGAAAAACTCGATTTTTTTTTGTAAGATTGATTATGCATTAATGATTGAAAATGATTAATTACAATCCTAGTATTATTAGTAACTAACTAACCTATGATGAAAGGCGTAGTTATAAGGCCACCCTTTGCTTTTCTTGAATCTTCTTCTTTTTCTTGATTGCTTCCATTTTCATTAGAGGCTAAATTTGCTTCTATTTCCATTGGCCCTTGTCTTTGTATGATGATGTGTTGTGAGTGTGTGTGTGTATATGTACCTGTGGATCTCGACCCGATTATCGAATTTTCAAGCGGGTCGACCCGAAAACCGAAAAGTAATTGTCAAAGGATGATGGAGTGTCCAAACTATAGTAGTGTAAAATGAGCAAAGAAAAGGAGCAGCATAGAAAAAAGTCGGCACTCATAAGAGGGTCCATAAATGCATGGAAACAATTAAGGATTAGTCAAGATAATTAATTATTAATTGCAAAGGGAAAAAAATAAAGGGGAAATTTGCTGGACACGCCTTATTTTGGACTTATACGGCTAGAGATCCTAGTTGTTAGATGAATATAGGCATAGGTCATT